ATTAGTCTATGCTGTCCCAATTTGTTAACCTATAACTATAAGGAAATTTTAAGTTCAATGTGATTAATGTAATATGCATTGTTGAATGAAAGTTTGAAATAATCAGACGTAAGAAATTCCATTTGGTTGGCACAAGATTTGACTTTTTCAATCGCGCGCGATTTGAGGGTTTCCTAATGAGGCCATAAAAGGGGAAATGTTCTATTTTTATCTTCGTTCAGTCCCGTTGTCTTTTAAAAAATGATTATAAGTAAAACTTTGAAACTTTCAAAAATAAGCTGTACTGAATGCTTTTAATTCAATGAAAAAAAATATAGAAAAAAATTAATTCAGATTTTTTTCATTCAGTTGTAAACCCCCATGATTAATGGAGCAGGGCAAGTGCTATAAATAGAATGACGAAATTTAATGCACATATTGCTTTCATTTGTAATTTCTGATTGACATGATGTAGTAGCAATAATGGAAACATTTTTATTTGAGTCAATAATTAAATTGTTGATGGAACGTTTATATTGTGTCAGTTTTTTTTAATATATTGGATCAGTGCATACTATTAATGCAAGATATATTACTGTAGTCAGCGGCAGCTCACACAAATTGGTCCGACCAAAATAGTTCCATCATGATATGTAGATACAACATTATTGTTCATGATAAGAGTAAAGTTGTGTATGTCATACGTTAAAGAAATCAAAAATAACATCAAAATATTATTAGAAAGTCACTTTCCCCCCGAAATGCAAATAAAAAATATCAATATTCCTACGCTCGCTCCCTCCTCAGCCTTTTTTTTTTTTTTTTTTTTACATGTTTGATAACAGAGAATATTTAGGTCATTCTTCGATTCATATCTTTTCACCGATGAATTGATAATACTATATCAACAATTGTATTAAGTACATGTTTATAGTCCGTTAATTATCATACAATTTCTTCTTAAAGAAAAAATTAATCATTCTGTGTGTGTGTATTATTAAATGACGGAATTTTCAATCCCTGGCCGGATTCTGCTCGTGTGTACACTTTGTAAACTGTAGGGTATGTGTAGCAAAACGAGAACTGGGTCGGAGATTCGGGTTCGTGTTGAAGTTCAGCATACCATTTTATATAGAACTTGAATAATGTAAGTAATTTCTGCGACGAATACATTATTATATTACAGTAATTTTCAAAACAAAAAAGGTTTTCAGTTTAGAATTTTCCGACCCGGTCCTAATTTTCCTAACCCGGCCATTTTAAACACAAGTTGTTCATGTTGTTGCAGATGCAAATGTTAGAACAAACTATATATAGTTCAACAGGGATTGTATAATTTTTATTAATCAGAATTCGTATTCATATGATCTAATTAAGAAAAGAAAAGTTTTGTCTGCCATCGTAACTTCTCTGCAAAACAAAACGTGTTTCTCCGAGCTCGCTGGATGCGTTTGACAGCTCCATCGCACGTGTGTAGACCAAGGCTAATGTTGGTCTTGCGGACACAGGTACATGTAGGCCTATGTGTACTGTTTGTTAGGAGACTGGGTGACCGTAATGCTATGGACTCACGAAATCTACACCAGTTCCATAATTAGACAGTGCAGTTTTTTTTATTTAACGTCATTATAAACACTGTTAAACATATTAAATCTAAAAGTCGAATATCTTTGGATATGGGGTAACCCATATCTATTCTTGTTTACTTCTCAACACTAAAACCGTCATCATTCACAGGCAAATGGTCAAGGACAGCAAGTGGTCACCCTAGTACATCTGGTACAACAGGCAGCATAGCAATTATAAAAAACTCCAAGCTATACATTGGCCATGTTGGTGATTCTGGTGTAGCTCTTGGTTATGAACAAGACAGAAGTGAAAAACGTCCTATACCTGGGGTTATGCTTACACAGGTATATCTTCTCTGCCCAATATTTGATTTTTTTTCTTTACTTTTTACCTTTTTAATACAAACATCTGGATCTTGGTTCTCATTTACTTTCAGTGTAAAAAGGTAAACAGTATGTGTCTTTCTCAATCAAGCACATGTACAGATGACACAATTTAATAAATTTCTTAAATTTTCATAGCTACATTTGACTTTTGAAGAGGAAAAACTTGCACAAATTTATAAAGAAAAAGTAAAATAACTTTTAAAAAATAATTGACATTTCTTATGATGAATTTCTTGTAACAATGTGAAAACAGTATGAATGTGGACAAAAAAATTAATTTAAAAAAAATTATTTTCTCAAACATTCTCAGATTTATCCTTATCAAAAATGTTTGTTTAAAATGACAAAATAAATTCACTGAAAAAGTTTGGTTGTCAAATAATGACTAAGACACCTAAAAAATTTTAGGACCATAAGCCAGACAGTCCGGAAGAGATAAAGCGAATTAGAAGGGTCGGAGGTCAAGTGGTGGCCAAAGCTGGAGTCCAGAGAGTGGTATGGAACCGCCCCAATATCAGCAACAAGGGTCCAGTACGAAGGAGCACTCCAATTGACAAAATACCCTTCCTAGCTGTGGCAAGAAGTTTGGGTATAACAAATGTTATTACTGTTAAAGTAGTTAACCAAAGTTAATTTAAAGCCGCTTAGTCCGATTCTAATCACGAAAAAAATATATTCGATTTTTTTCTTGAAAAATAATTTTCCATAAATTGTTTCAACTTTTGTCAAATTATATCCCCAAAATCTTTTTCTTTTAAAAGATATCAAAATTCAAAAGTTAAAAAAATAATAATAGCGCATGAAATCACCTTCGAAAAATTAAATTTATCGCTTACATATATATCTCATGATGAACAAACCCAAGCATTTTTTCACAAGAAAGTACTTATGCATGTACCTGTGCACAGACAATATTTTAGCCTTCGTTACTAAACTTCCTTTATAAAGGTCTTTAAATATATCTGATTTTCCTTTATTCTTTAGATATGCATATTAATATAAAAATAATTTTGGATTATATTAAATTAATTTCTCAATCTTTAAAAGATATATTTTGACTTAGGCTTCTACTAATGGAAAAAAAATACTTGGGATTGAATTATCTTCATAATTAGGTATAACCGAAAAATTTATCTTTTTTCAAAGGTGACTTCATAACAGAGCTTAACTTCCCGTCAGGAACTTCTGTTTGTCATTAAGGTTTTTGATCTATGTTTTCCATGTAAGGATTGTTGTAGTAAACTTCTAAATCAATCTTATAATTTATTTTTATATATTATCTATGTAATCTATGTAATGACGGATTTTTATTGTGTAAGATAATATATTATAAAACCTGTTTCGGATTAAGCGGCTTTAATTCATAATCATATTTTGCTGTTTGTTCTACCTAGGAAATGAATGGTTAATAAATAATTTCTTTATGTTAGAGAATGCATAAAATTTTTTGAAAACATTGATTACTGTTTGTTTCTTCCTAGAAAAGGAATGTACCATAAATAGTTCCCACATAGGAATCCATCAAAATTATTGGAAGCTATGAAGCCTTGAAAAATATCAAAACCTATTAGCAATGACATAATCGCTCAAATATTCAATTTTTACTTTTTCAGGTGATTTATGGAGCTTCAACTATCAGAACAACGAATATGTTGTCTCCCCTGTTCCGGATGTGGCTGTCCATGAGCTGGATCCAGCCATTCACAGGTGCCTGATCCTGGGATCCGACGGATTGTGGAACATGATGACAGCTGAGGCAGCCGCAAGCATGGTGGCTGATTTGGAAAATCACTTTGAATACAAAGTTATCCATGACCCGGTTAGCATATTGTTCTTTACCATTTTGTTTATGGCTTCTATATTGCATTGAAATTTTTTTCTTTTAAAAGATTAAAGATATTCAACTCAGTTGTGTGATCTCTTTTTTTGTGAATTGAATTCATTTATTTATTTGTCAAGTACATCTGAAAAATGTATATTTTATTGAATTAAAGGTAGTAGTAAGAGTTGTCTCTCTTTATTCAGTGTTTGTTGACTTTTTTCTTTATTTTTACCAGTCTGTGCCTGTGTCTTACTGGATAAACCCTGCAGAAAAACTAGTCCAGAAGGCTTTGCACTCGTGGAGGGCTAAACTAATGAAGGCTGACAACACCAGCTGTATCGTAGTGCTGATTGACCCTCTGGGACCCAGAAAACTATCCATTCTCAAAAGGAAAAGAGAGGAATATCTGCAGAAGATAGCACCTGAGAAAAGTATAGCCTCCTCTTCTACAAGGACATCACCCAGAAAACATGACACTGCTTCAAAACCCGAGAATGTGAAGAGCGTCAAAGAAGAGGAGAATAAGAAAAAATTAACAAGTAGAGTGAACCCACATAGTGTAGCAACAAAAACAGTCATCTCCTCTGTCTCAACTGAAAAATCTAAACGTTTATCGTTACATTCAGCAGTCAATACAGAACTGGACGACAGTATTCAGGCAAACAGTGTCCACTTCAAGGCAACCCTTGTGCAGGGAACTTGTGCCAAAGAGAAGCTGAACTTCAGCTGTTCTAATGTGTTTGCAAGATTCAAAGGGAGCAAATCCGATCTAGATGTCAACACTTCCACACAGGGTGTTCCGATTACAAGGGCAAGGCATCACTCTGGAAATGTGATCCTTCAGTCACACAAAGTCCAGAAAAGTTTAGATCAAAACCAGAAGCCAGTGAAAAACCAGATTTTTACAGCATCTTCATTGAAGGATCTCTCAGTGCTCACAGACAGCTTGAAACCTTACCAGACCAACCGAGTTCACATAACCGAGAAAGGCATGAAGAAAGTGGAACCTCCCATATCTGCCTGCAGCCTCAAGGATGTTCAGAACTTCATGGATTGTGGCAAAAGTGAGATCAAGGTGCGGACAAACAGTGATATGAATCAGCGAGCAAGCAAAGAGGACGGAAGTCGAAAAGATCTGAAAGTTGACACCATTATCAAGGGGAACAGTACAGATTGTGGGGGACATTTTCTAAGGAGACACTCTGTTGGTGCAATTGAGAGTAAAAAGGCTTCATGTGTGGCTTCAAAACTGAGGAAAGGAAAACAACGGTCCCTGCGGTGTCGAGGTCAAGTAGAAAACAAAGTGAAAGCAAGTGCGACAACAATAGCGGGTGTCAAGCGGAAAAGAAATAGCATTGACAATGTACCACAGACGAAAAAGGCTTGCCGTAGATAGTGCTACTGTATTTGATCTACATATGGTTGTGCATTGCTCTCATATTTTTTTTTTAATTCTGTCCTATTTTAAAATATCAGCACAAAAGTCTATGCATTTGCCAAAGTATTTTATGAAGTGATTTCATTTTAATACTCAATTTTTCACCATACCTTGGAATCAAAAATGCGTTTTCCATTTCATTATTTTACCTGTTTATTGTATGTTTGAAACTTGTAGACGAATAGTTACTGATTTGCTTGTCTTTTTTGTTTAGTGTTGCATTCATTTTCATTGACATTGCAGGGTATTGGGACAAATCAGAATTTCTGTCGTCACTTTTCACCCCAATTATTGACTAGAAAGAGATGAGTATGATATGTCTTTCAAAATACCTTTTCCTTTCTCTTGGAAGTTTTGAGTATCAACCATACATACCCAACCCAGCCCTTGGATACCTTTGCTATTAATTAGAAAATTAATTCTTTAACTATAATATTTACTTGTCAGGGGTAGGGGTAAGAAAGAAGATTTTAGATTTATCTTAATTTTGTGTATTAATATTTAAGTGAGTTAAGATTTAAGGTTTGGTGGCAAAAAAATGAGCACAACACCATTTTGTTGGTGGTTTGGTGCATGTTAATAGTTTATATTTCTTTTTCATCCCCATTACTCAAAAATGAAAGCATGTGTGAATATTCATTATTGCTTTAAATATTTTTCTTAATCTTTTACATGTAATTGCGTAGCAATAATGATAAGGAAAAGGTTATCTGGATCTTTGATCAGCTGTTCATGATAATATTAGTTATTTACAAAAGTTGATGCAAAGCTTGCAAATATTTGAACAAAAACTTTGATGTACAATACAACTCTGAACAAGAAACGAAAGAAATCTTTTGTTTTTTATTGATTTTTTTAAAAAAAATATTATTTATGTTATATTGACATGTGATGACTGATGTTTTATATTATTATATATTAAATTATTTAATTTGATTTAAAAAAATTTCATTGCATGCAACTTTTTAATTGAAGCTTTTGGTTCTTTTTATATCGTACAAAACCACTTTTTTTTACTTTTGTTAAGTTAGATCCGTTTATCATTGATTTTTGTTTTCTTGTTTTTCGCAATCTTCTTGTTGCTTTCTGGTGTTTTTTAAGTCTTTCGCTTTGTATTTTACTTTCATAATGTTTATTTAAATTTATTATTTTCATTTAACTGAACGATAACTTTTGTAGCTTCACTTGTTAAAAAAAGTAATTTTAGAAAATTGACAATATATTTTAATAGTGTGCTTTGTTTTACAAGAAAGCTTTTTCGATGCAAAATTTTCACCATATGAAGCATGTTTTAGTTTAAAGTAAAATCATTACATTGTCATTGAATTTGATGTAAATAGATGACTTGAATGTATGTACAGATAAGTTAAAATTTCGCATAATCACATTTCATTTAATCACCATGCTGGTGGTAAACTCTTCAGGGATTTTTTTTGTTTCCATATTACTGTGTACAGAGTGAAAATTTATGTTTTTCCATAGATTTATATATAGATTTTCATGTGAACAAATTCATCTTGTAAATAGCATGTGAATACAAAACCTTGTATATAGTATTAAATGAAATTAAAATTCTTTTATAATGAGAAAACTTAAACTTTGTTTTTTGTTTTATTGATATTCTCTGTAAACAACTCATTGGAAGTTACATTTGAACTTTTGATATCTTGAACACTAATATCTCAGATTCCATTGATATGTAAACTAAAAGTGATTTGAAAGTCCAAACGACTTGAGGAAGCTCAAAACACTAACAGAAACTGCTTTTTGGACTTGGAGAAAAATATGTCATATAAAGATGTGCATATTGAGACTTTTTCATTCAATTTTAGCACAGGGTACCTGCCTTATTTCTGCAGGAAAAATGTTCAAAGACGATGAACTACTTATGATGAGAAGTCACTGCTGTTAACTTATATTTGGAAAATTAATGAAAATGATGAATTATTAGGGCCCCGCTCAGCGGGCACCCTATTATTGATCAGTCTGTCCGTCCGTCTGAGATCTCTTGTCTTCTTTCTCCATGGCCCAATTAGCTCATACTTCACCCACAAAGTGCCTTTGGGTAACCAATGTGCAGTGACCTTGAACCATGTTTCTAGGTCAAAGGTCAAGGACAGCAGAATTGTATGAAAAATCCTTGTCTGAATCATATCTTCTCTCTCCTTGGCCCAATCTGGCTCATACTTCACCCACAGAGTGCCTTTGGGTAACCGGTGTGCAGTGACCTTGATTCATGTTTCTAGGTTAAAGGTCAAGGTCATAGCAGAGTTATAAAATATGAAAAATCCTTGTTTGGAGCATATCTCTGCCCTTTGTCCAATCTGACTCATACTTCACCCACAGAGTGCCTTTGGTCAGTGAATGTGCGGTGACCTCAAAGTTTCTAGGTCAAGGTAAAAAATAACCTTTCTTTTTAAAGTCTTTGTTTGCTGCATAATGTCTTTCCTTAAGGTCAAGATCTAGTAAATAACTTGAGACTAATTTTTTGGTGCTAGATCCATTATGACGTCATAATCAATTTCAAGTTTCTTTTTCCCGTACTTTACGGCTTTAGCAGAATTATGTAGAAAATAGGGTATTATCATGTCATTCAATTTGAAATCATATGAAAAGAAAACCGGAAATTGATTTAAAGAAGAGGCCATGAACATACTAATTACCGTTTTCTGAGAGACTGAAGGCAATCTGGATATATTTCCTTTGCCGAATACGAAAAAAACTTCCATATTCATGACTGGTGTTCTTAATTTTTCATTGAAAATGATACTTTAAAATGCAGTTTTTCATCTTGTTTACCTACAAATTATGCCCCGAAACACCTTATTTGACCAAGCTAAAGTTGTAAAGCATCAATAAAGGAATTTATTTCTCAAGTTTGATAAATCTGTAGGCACCTTTCATTTACTAGATCTTGACCTTAACAAGAATCCAAATCACTCCATTTGCATTGTCGTATGAGACACGTTTATTAAATCATTCTTTAATTGGCCAGTTCATTTATATTATATAGTATATATTTTTAATTTATTGGGAAAAATATTCAAATATTTAACAAAATGTACAGATCCTTTATAATTTATTTATGTTCCTGTGCATATGCATAGCTACTAAAAGTATTTTTTTAACATTCAGAAAACAATACTTAGTCTAGAACTTCTCTTATTAGCAAAATGTCCACTGATTGTAAGAATTATGTAATGCTATTTCAATGCTTAAAAAACTTTAGCCATAAAACCTTTCTTAAAATCAATCAGTTGGAATGTCTATGGCACGCCAAATTCACAAAAATGAGATAAACCTAGTTTCACATTTGATAAACTAGGTTTATCGACTGTAAACTATAGTTTACAAACCGTAAACTATAGTTAACGATTCGTTAAGTATAGTTTACATCTGTAAAACTATATTTAACGGTTGTTAACTATAGTTTACGAATGATAATCTAAGTTTATCTGTCTGTAATAAGCGTTAACAATAGATTTTGTTGATAAACATAGATTCACGTTTGTAAACTATAGTTTACAATCGTAAACTATAGTTAAGAGTTGTTAATCATAATTTCACAAATCGTGAAACTATATTTATCAGATCGTTAACTATAGTTAACGGTTTGTAAACTATAGTTTACAAATCGTGAAACTTTATTTATCAGATAATCTATGATTTGCAATCACAAATGATAGTTTTCGGTGTGAAGTATAGTTTACGATTGTGAAACATAGATTATCGCGTTAACTATAGTTTACAGATGTAAAATATAGATTAACGTTGTTAACTATAGTTTACAGTTCGTAAACTATAGTTTACAACCAATAAACCTAGTTTATCGATTGTGAAACTATGATTATCTCATTTTTGTGAATTTGGCGTGCCATAAATGTCCTTTTCTTCGAAGTTCCATATGATGATAAAGAAAATAATGCTATTGATCATACTCAAACAAATATAAATAAACATAAATAAACGATCCAGTACACAAGCAATGAGTTCCCATTTGTTGGTGACATGGCATTTGTGGCAGTCATGGCGGTTTGATTGTTGTCTGACATCGGAAGAATATTCTGGGATCTCCTCGGAAGAACACACTGGAATTTCATTCTCACTGGAAAGTTTTAAACAATTCCAACAACTATGCTTTTCAAACCGTATTTCCTCTTCACGAGGGCCTAAACACTTCAGGACATTATCGTATTTTATGCACAACATTTTTCGAAAATTGTCTAAAAAGATGGAGTAAATTAACTGGGAGATATCATGTTCCTCTGGCGACCTATAATACACATGTAAAAATATACTTGAAAAAATACATGATATGCATACGAGTTCCATGCAAATTGCAAAATACATGGCAAGAAGTGGGAAGTTTTCAGACACTGAAGGGAATTTGTCTTGTACAAGTAACAGAATACGGTTACAGATAAGAGAACCGTAACCTGTAAGGAAATTTTCTCAGCAGAGAATGACGGTAGAACGAAACCCATAAAACTTAATAAATTGATCAGAAAACAGGGGAAAATGATTGTTATGATATAAAACAGAGGTTTTCTTCGGATATGTATATGAAATGTAACATCAGAATACGGATCGGGACAACAGCCACAATGAACATTGTGCGCCACTGCTGCGGACCCCACTATATCCCACTCATTGTGTGTCCTGAGGTTCAACATTTGATTAATCCCCTTTGTTATGTTTTTACTATCAAGAAATCGTGGAATATATTTAATTATTTATAACAAATTGGCCATTTGCTAAAATGATAATATAAGAAAAAATGTTTTATGTATTAAAACGAAATAAAAATAACATTTGGATTACATTTTGAAAAATACATATACAGTAAAACTCGTTTAGTGCGATCACGGATATAGCGAATTCACGGATATAGCGAAGTTTTTCTGGGTCCCCGGCAAAATTCTTAACAAATCTTTGTAAAATTTTACGGTTATAACGAACTCTGATATAACGAATTTACGGATATAGCGAACTGGTTTTGAGTTTTGAGGTTAAATATAATGAAATTTACATCTTTTATTAAGAAATTTCATACATTATAAAAAAAATGATAAATTGAACTTACTTTATTTCCTTTTAGCACCTGTATATAAAATTCAATTCATAAGAAAACCTTAGTTATCGAAGATATGTTTTGTAATATTTGCTTCACCAACATAGTTGGTAGTAATACTTGAAGATAAGCATTGTGGCAACGCACTTTGAAAAAATTACGCACTTTGAAAATTTTTTTCAAAGTGCGTTAAAATTGGGACAAAATCAACGCACTTTGAAAAATTTTTTCAAAGTGCGTTAAATTTGGGACACACTCAACACACTTTGAAATTTTTTTTCAAAGTGCGTTAAGAGTGTACATAAACATTTTTTTACCTTGGGACATATAACGCACTTTGAAAAAAATATGTATAAAGCAAAAAACTCTTTACTTAGATTTTAATAATTGAGATAATCAATTTTTATTAATTATATCTTTCGAAAAACATTTTAATTTACATGTATTCATTTAACCTCATTGGGAACAAGGAGAAGGCAGGAAGGTCTCTCAGCTCAACTCTTTTTTATACACTGTACATAGTCGTCGGTAGCAAATTGAAAGCCGACACCCCCCTCAAAGGCAAGCCCCGATTTCCAATGCCTATACATGTATATCTATGCAAAATATTTGAGTTCCTAAGAACCCCCCCCCCTCCCGGTACCGATGCTTATGCTACCCCCAATTATATGTATTTGCATAACTGCATGGTATGACGTTGAAAACTTTCAATAAATGTTAATTTACATATAAAATGCATGCAAAGTGCAAAACTTAAATAAAACATTTAACAGATAGAATTTTCAAAGTATGGAAAAATCAAAATCGCTCACTTTCACATCCTGAAGTGACCTCATCACCAAAGAGTTATCAAACAGGTTCAATTATTTACCATACCCAAGATTTGCAAGAATATTGACCAAGCCATGCATATTTTTTCAAAGTGCGTTAATATGGTCGATATTAACGCACTTTGAAAAGAAATTTTATTTTTTCAAAGTGCGTTGATTTGGTTCCAAATTTAACGCACTTTGAAAAAAATTTTCAAAGTGCGTAATTTTTCAAAGTGCGTTGTAACAAAGCATGCATAGTGCGAATTCGCTATAATGGTTATACGAATTCGTTATACGGATATAACGAATTACGGATATAGCGAATTAAATTCAAAGGTCCCAAGGACTTCGCTGTAAGCGAGTTTCACTGAATAATTTTATGTTTCGTATTGCCAATCTGTATTGTATATATAATTTTTAATTAATTCAAGAAATCAAAGCCTTAGATGATTAAGATAAATAATTAAATAATTATTTTTTTATGCATTTCCTCTATCAGGAAAACGAACGCGATTTTTGTTTTTCAATACTACGTCGCCTTTCAAGTTTTACAAAGTGACATTTTCAGTGTGTTTGGAAAAATAGGCAGGTGGGGTGGGTAGGGGTGGGGTTATTGTTAATATTTAGACACTTGACACTTATTTATAACTTTATATGTCATCAACCCCGTAAACAAAGTAGACAATGCAAAAATATATATACTCCTGATATATGTATTCCATCTAATATTTAAGAAGCCATAATATAAATTGAAGTATATCTTGCTGATCAAAAATCCAATGATTATTTAAATTTCCTTCTTATTTATATAACACTCCTACTTGCATTGTAATTTAATCAGCCTCAAACAAATTGACTGGATATGGAACATTTGTGATTTTCCTTCCATATTATGATTGAGGATATGCAACAATTCTCATAAAGGATACATTTCTACAAGTTAAAATAAAATTCAGCAAAGACAGCGGCATCAGGGAAATACGTTTAATTTTATGATTACTATTTATTGTATTTTCTGGATAAAACTAAGAAAAAATTAAGAAATTTACTTGTACCTATATTAACTTATTGATTTATAGTGTATGTAGATTTTATTGTATAAAGTCATTCCTAGGTTCTAGTAGGTGTTGGTTGTTGACGGGGAAAGGGGGGGGGGGATTTAGAATGCATATGAAGAAACCAAGAGTTTATCTGTTTAAATTATTTCTCATCAAAACAAAATACTCGTTTTTTGCAAATTAGTTTTATATTCAGATGTTTGTCAGTGCTAACTTACCTTTGTTTTAGTGCAGAAAGGTCAATATTTATGACAGAAGAGAACAAAAATAAAAGAAAACGTCATATTTCTCGTTTATTTTATCATAAAGGTATACTTTTTTCTTTGTTAAAACAAAAAGAGGGGTCATTTCTTTCAAAAAATATGAATTACAACATTTTCACACATAGACTTTTTAAGATATTACCTGTTATGCATGTCGGAATCGCAAAAAAATACGACAAGAAAAACGGGGTGATACTTACATTGTGCTCCTTTATAATTTTTCATGCCAGATGAATTACAATGAATTTGCCTTCATTTTAAAGATACAAGTCATATAAATTAAAAACATGTTGCTATCGATAAAATTTTTGGATCTTTATAGCGCATATTTGGAGTAGAACAATAATGTCTGAAAATAATCTATTTTTAGCATTTCACACTGTTTTTGCACGTGCTCCTGTGTAAAAATAAGCATATAAAGGTATTGTTTTTAATACCTAAAAATTAAAAGCAAGTGGTCAGGAAAGAGATGTCAAAGTTTTGAAAATTTCACACAAAGACTTTTCGGACATAGGTCCCCCCTTAAGTATTTGAGCCTAAAACATCTAGAATCTTATGATATCTCAAAGGTTCTTGTCGTCCCACTGAGTTTAAGATAGCAAGATTTGTCTGTATATTTTGAAACAAATTATACATTGAATTTGTAGATTAAGATTTGATGGACTTGTTTATCTACTTGGTTACTGTTCTCAAGATGCTGGATATACAAAATTGTTAAAATTGCTTTTACAGTGTTTATTATTGCTAAAACATTACGGAATATAATTTTTGGCATCTTAGGCTAAAATGTTCTAAGTATATTTCTATGTCCTATATTGGTATTATTCTCTAGTTGCTTGACGGTACATCTGGTTTTATTGTACTATTCAGGTCTCAGATGCTGTATATCCACCAGGTGAATGGTTTTGTGTAGTTAATCGGTCTTTTTGAGTAAGTTCATTAAAAATAAAAACTATACTATGCTTTACCTGGCCCAAGGATCATGAAACAAACTTAGACTTTAGTCAAATTTTCTATCACCTATAAAATATTCATTAATTCAGGAATTTAATTGAAAATTTGCAGTTAACAACTCTTTTTTAATCTTGGTCTTCTCAACCTTTACAACATTTTATAACAAAGTAAAGATTTTGACTTAAGATGTTTCATGATCCCGGGACCAGGACCAAAAATCTCGTATTATGATAGAAGCTTACAAACCACATCTGCTTCCGAATCAGTTGCTGGATCTCGCCAATATTTTCTTTTCTTAAGAGAAACCATATACAAGTTTTTGGAGCAAGTTCATTCATGCTATTGAATTTTACCTAGAACAAACTTCCATGCAGTTGTAGGGACGCACACAACCAGAATTGCTTCGGATGCTTGATTTGATCTACGTTTTCTAGAAATGTAACGTAGATAAAGTTCTTAGAGCAGGTCCATTCCCAAGTATGTACATGTAAATAATGGCCTTTGATTTGATGACTAAATATTTGTTTCATATTTGGATGTTAATTTTACTAAATAAAAACTTTGATGACAAACTGAAAACTAAGCTTTAATGATAAACGTGATGACTTTAACTTATCTATGACCAACTTCCATTATTAATGCAGCAATACATGTATACCTTTATTACAATGTAGGGGAGCTATTTCTCCCTGTTGGTTTGATGGATAAGAGCATTTACCACGTACACAATTTCTTAGACAAGGTAGCCTATTGACAAATAAGTTGCAAGGATATCAACAATGTTCTTTGAAAGCATTTTTTTTTTCAAAAGTCTACGGTACTTATAGACACAATGACCTTGAAGGCAAATACAATCTGCTGTGTGTGGCTTGACGGCTTTCATACAGCCTGATAAACCTTTATTTTCGCAGCGAATTGTCTACAATTTTTTTTCCTTTAACCTATAACTTTCTGGCGGCCAAAAATAATATTTGATAAAAATAGGAATTTCAAATACATTTTACATATTTCTGTGGGATTTTTCTTGCTTCAAATGAATTGAAAGCGACCATCCAAATCTCCAGTTTGTCTAAGCTGAATGACAGTGGAAATTAACTCGATTAATGAGTTCGATTTGGAATTAGTGACCATGAAATGTGAATTTACACTCACTCACTTTAAATACAGTTCCCATCAATTTATTTTGCTTTTTGTTAAAGAAAGTCCAAATCCGACCAATAATAATAATAAAACGAACGCAACATGATATTTAATTTCATCAAGCTAATCCAACTTTATTGCATTTTCTCATTTTATCTTTCGTCCACTGCTTTTGAATAAGCTTAATCCAATAAATTCCATTTGTTATACGAGATCTCTTGATGGACTCATAACGAGGTATTTTTACTGCACATAGGGAATTACAATCTGGCACACTATGTAGTTTGGAATGGGCGTATATTTTTTCATTGCACAATGTAATCGATATACCCTTATGATTGCTAATTTTGCCTGTTGTAAAATTTCACTTGTCAGACCAAAATAAATCATGTATTCATTACACTCCCATCTGGAAGGAATGAGTAATTTTCTGCCACTCATATATATGTATATTGTACATGTATATATTATTACGTGCTGATTTAATAATAAGTGATTTATGGGGGAAAAAGTTGACACTATTTTTCAGTTTAAATCTCATTTTTATGCAGACATTTCAGATAACACATAAAAAAGAATCTACAATGAATGTATGATCAATTGAGTCATGATTCTCATTTTTAAAAAAAATGAATATACATTTTAAATAAAATTTACAAGCATAAATGATATAGTCACATATTAGATCTTCTTGTATTTTCTCGTACACGTAACACCGTTTCCAGCTGTCATGACCTAAAAATATGAAAATACACACGAATTAGGCATTATTGGTGATATATTAACTATAGTATCTAGAATCAATATGAGTTGGAAAGTTAACGAAATGCAATGTATGCTGCTACATGTAATTTAAAAACTAAAATCTTTTCAGAACATATATAGTGTTTGAGATGTATGATCTCCAAAACCTCTTTGTCATGCATATGATGACGTTTGAATACCAGTTTTTAATGAATTGGAATTTTATGAACATGACCTATTTTTATTTAATTTTTCAGATGCGCAATTTTGATAAGAGGAGCACGCGAGTCGCAAGCATTCGCAGCTCTGTATGCGTGTGGTTGGGGCGGAGGGGTGGGGGTTAATTTTTAAGTTCACGTCTTTGAAGTAAAACAAGTCATTCACTTCCAAATACCATTTTCACTCCACGAGCTACATCAAAATTATATCTCAATGATAGGAATGTCCTAATCTCTAGTTCTTTGTTCTGTGTTCATATCCGACCGCTTATTTTTCTAATTGCATAACGATCGCAGAAGAAAATAAATGCTAACCAGACTCCACGATGATCACTGAACAAATTACAAAGGAAATTAACGTCAGACTCTGTGCTAAACATATGTTCTTCGTCTCTTGTAATACCTCGGGTAAAAAATAAATCAGAACACAATAGTACTATTACGGAAGCCCATTTCTAAAATTTGATATACGAATTAAAATTCTTTTAGTCAAATTCAACAAAGAGGGCCTATAGAAAATTAAAATATATACAAGTTCGATAGAATGATTTGTCGAAATTTTATAACGAATTGAATTCGTTTTAACAAATTAAAGATTTCTTTTTCACGAATTTAATTCGTTATAACACATTTTTGAATTCATTATATAGAATTAAACAATCTTGTGATAACAAACTAAATGCAATACAAACGAAATCATAGAAATTGTTATTATGAGTTCAAATGATATAATTATATATATATATATATATACTGTTAATAACTTTTTATTCGCGAGATCTTTATTTTCGCGTTATTACGCTCGTGCGCGCTCTTGCAAGCACGTGACATTTTATTCTCGCGTATATTCTGGCACATGTATTTATTTTATAAAGGATATATAAAACAGAAAACACAGCTCGCGAACATTTTTTTTCTCGCTAATAAATACTAAATAGCTATCTCGCGTAAATTAGGTGTCGCGAAAATGATCTACAGCATACAGGAAAATATCTTTAAAGTTGCAATGCATGCTCAATGATTCCCTTTACACTGAACGAAATACCTAGTTAATTTAACTGTTGTGCCTATTGAAAATTATTCGTTAATTCTAGATTAACTTACGTTTTCTAGTCAATCTACTCAATACCTAGTAAAAATAAGGTGGTGAGTTTATGGATAGTAAATTTACTATTCTTCTTTATAGTGACTTTTACTAGTTTTTTTCCAGTGTTGACCTATAAATTTTACCTTTGTCTGTTTCTTACCATGGTCAGGGTATTTCCGGAAACTGTCCGTTTGTTGGTCGTTTCAAAACCAGAACCAGTTTGCTTTTCAATCAAAGTGTCTCCATCCATTGTAAAGACAGCCTTCAGAATACAAAAGTATTATACAGGAGAATTCCGATATAAATAATTACGTACTTTAGCTGTATATAGCATTTAATAGTCTGGCAGATGAGTGCTATTCTTTATAATTCTAATGTCCCATAAGTTGACGTTCAAAATTTGAAAGAGAATAAAACTTGCAAAAAGAAAAGAAAACATAAACTGAAGCAATATGAGCTGCATTTTTTGACAATTTTATTTTGCTGTTAAAGTGTTGTATTATGAAAAATGTGTATGTAACTTAAACCTTTATGATCAATTATACTGAAATAAAGCAGAAGAAAGACTTCTATATACAATCCAATCTACAGTTTTATATAAGAAATCATTATTGTACAGGACGACAATAATCAATTACAGCTTATAAATAGTTCTTCCATCGCAAATATGAGCAACAGAAGTTTATTAACGTTATTTTTTCTGTAATTGAAAAAGTTATTTATAATTTTGCAACAAAAAATTCCGACATCAAAGTTGCAGCTCATATTGCTTTAAAGAAAGCAAATACCCTATTACATTTTTGCAAAATTTCACATTTTTAGAACTAAATGACCCATGTTTTATAGATCCATGACAACAGCACCGATTTTTTGATAGTTAAATCATCATGCAGACTTGTATATAAATTTTCAAAATCAAAATCTATCACTATTACAGGGTTGAATATCTTCCCGAAAAAATGAATCTGACATGGGATTTCTTTTGGGTAACTCTTACTCCAGAGCCTATATATCTCCGGGAAAAATATTACTCTAAAGCCAGTTTTCCCTGGGGGTATATACATTGTACCTTTACAGGCCTTCCATCTAAGGTGTTGGTGTCGAATTCGGAACCCAGGCTGAATTTGGAAACCCTCTCTCCCCCGGGGGTGGTAATTTTGAAGACCCAGTCATTCCCGGAGTTGCTGATGTCGTAAGTTAGTTTGGAGGAATCTCCTAAGAATTTCTCGGCTTCTACTTGTTTATCATCACTTACACCTGATAATGAAGATACTTTTTTTCAATTTATATGACAAAACACATGCACATGTCAATTTTTAAAATATTGAATGATTTAAAATAAAATTAATATTGACAACATTTGAAGAATGCATTTAGGCCAAGTAGCCACACTTGTATATATATAATTTAAAGAATACACAATCGGGTCCAGTGGAGGAGGGGGTTTACTGAAAATGACTTGGGTCGAAAATAAAGCTTTAACATTTAACTAAAAAGGAACCACTTATTACACACTACGTGGCATGAGAGAATCATAGCATTATTTTTTCAGTCTTTATTTCATTGAAAAACTAAATTTTATGAAGGTTTACTAAATATACAATTGTACATGTATATGTGAAGAGAAAAAAATATATGAAATTATGTCCCCTCAAGAAAAAAAAACAGAATCAGAATTTTCATCAGTCTCGTTTTATTGGGTCATTGAGACTGTTTTATTGATATCAACAGACATGGGATGTTTGTGGAATTTACACAACCAATTAGCAAACATCATATATCGATGTTTTTATCGACTGACTCCATTCAGACAGACTTTATTTGCACAATGCAGTCATTCCCTGTGGATTTGTTTATAACGACCAAGTTCCATATCATTAGGCTGCGAAAAATATTAGTCGCTTTAAAAACCTCTCTACTATATATAGTTTATTTTCGTCTGATCATTAAAATACATGACATTGTATATTATTTTTCTCATATATTCCAAGCTCTCTGATTGGCTCAAACTTGATCACATGATCAATTATATAACAGCATAAAGACGAGTTACTATTTATAGATTCTCAAATGCACATCGACTTAATGCTTTTAAAAATGGAAATAATTTTCTGTAAAACAACATTGTGCTGAATTCTAAAAAGGCTAAGACAGAGTATGACTTGATTTTTCTAAAAAAAAAATGTACTTCAAATCTTATAATTGTGATGCTCTGTAATAATTAGTCATATGATGCCTTGAAGAAGAATCTACTTTTTGTCAAAACATAATAGATATGTTTTTTTCAAAAATCAATACATGTACAAAACTTAATGAGACAAATTAGCCTTTTTAAAAAGGAAATCCCCTAAATTACTTCATCAGTACAAAGAATAACACACATTACATTAAACAGATTTTTTTTAATCTCTAGTCTCTGAGTGTTAAAAAAAAGACAAGAGAGAAAACTTGTGGTGATGTTGTCAATCTCTGTAAAAAAAATAATATAACAAATGTAGCCCTTTAATTCGGTCAATCCATAGATCTATATGCATTTCTGTGAAGTCGATATATCTATGGATCGACTTCATCAAAGGGTATATCTATAAGATAAGATAATTTTATGTTCCAATTTTGGGCCCAGAAGGCATAAAGGTTTTTTTTACAATGACAAGATAGAAAGTTCTGAAAGAAAGGTTAGTAAACATACATAAACATAAACACACACATGTGTATATCTGATATAATATATATACAAGTAACTGTACATGTAGATGCATCAGTTGGGGTTATCAAATCGCTAATTAACATGCGATCAAAATCAATATTATCAATATACATATAAACTAGTATACAAATAAATATGTGTCTATAACATCATTTATGAAAACTCATGGCATTATGCCTTAATTTGAAGGCTTTGACAAGATATTCACTTAGCTTTGTAATAATTAGTTTATCTTCATTAGATATTAACCAGAGAAATTTGTCTCCTTTTGATAATAATATGAAATTTTTGTTAAGTAATGAGATATCACGAAAAAATTTATCTCTCTCCTCAGTATATAATGGGCATTCAGTAAGAAAATGATATTCATCTTCTATACAGTTTTGCTTACACATTAAACATATTCTTTTATATAATACAAAATTACTGCGGCATAGTCATGGTATTGGAGGTATCGGGGTTCGAGAGACCGGAGTTTTACTGTGTTTAATGCCCGAACATATTTAATTTAAATCCTCCAACATTTCCTTATAGATTTCCTGAATGTTTGTATATTTTAAGCCTTTAGTAAGTATAAACTTGCTGTGTGATCTTATATAAAAAGGAAACACAGACAAAAGACCCACTTCAACTGAAGCTTCAAGTATTCTTTCTCGTATTTTTTTTTTATAAAAAGACAATTTAAAGGAAACCTTTTGAGTATGTGTTTTAGCAATAATAAAGCCTATACAATCTGGTTTAAAAAAAAATCTTTAATAACATTATTTTAATCAGTTGTCCTAAATAGCCTGGTATGTACATGTAATTGTCATTTGACATCAGATGCACTTAATATACAGTACCTACAACCTAGCTTCTTTACCCTTACGTATACAACTAATTTCTGCTTATTCAGAATTTTGACAGTTAATTTGAAAATACCAGCATATCTCCTAAACTTATTGAATAAAGTTAAGCTAGAATTTAAAATAGTTCAACAACCATTGCCTAGACCGAGGATATATAGTATTATACTCGATAAGACCAAAGGAAATTATTTTTTTTTTTGTTATTCGTGTATGTCACTGGGCGGGTAGGTTTTTATGAAAATCCTGAAAAGAAAATATTAAAGGTTTGTCAATTTTTCAAATTCAAATTCTAGTTTTTGAAAATCTTCAAATGTTTTTGAAACCTTTTAAAAATGACTACAGACCTCAATGAAATTAGGTATGTAAAACAGTTATTATTTACCCTGGCCTATCAGAAAATGCTCGAGAGATGCTCCTTAATAATCCGTTTATCTACTTCAAATAAAACATGTCTGATGTTTGTTCGGCGAGGAAATTCCTACTGCAGATGTTGTGTGTTTCTGATCTAGGTATTCATTAACCAGTTAAAAAGTTCAGACATTAAAAGAGGCGTTTAATTAAAGAAGAAAGCACTATCATCCACGGTGCGAAAGAAAGCGTGTGCGAAATCTACATGGTGCCTGAATGATACTTGGTCTATCTTGCGCATGGATTGTTAATTTCAGATTTTATCTATAACAGTGTTTCAGATAAGAATTTACACAAGTAGTGCCATACTATCTTTTACTCTGGAAAAGTAATCAAAATCAGCCTCATTATTTCGAAATACTCCCAAGTTTTCATATCGGTAAAATTCTTGTCATGTGAAATGTTATCATTCTTTTTTACATTTGAATATTTTTTTTCTATAAGCAACCATTAGTGATAAAATGGCCACGAATGATACAGAATACAGAGATTATAATTCATTAAGCTAATGAAAGTAATGTCATTCTCTGAAGATGGGCTTTGTTTCACCAATGAGTAGACTTCGTCCACGTGATGAAAAATGACGCAGAATAAAACATTACAGGATAACATTACATAATTAAGGTAATTGCATCGTCATTGATCAGTATAATATTCTCTTTCTGTATTCTGATATGTATTATCATATTTCATTCATTTTTGCAAAATCAATAGGCATATAAACAGCCTAATATTGTTAACACATCCCTGTAGATAATACTGTGTGACAATGGATATAAATACTAAAGGGTTTTCTCTGGCGGGGTACGGAGATCACTACAGAAGTTTATGTATCTCATGAGAAATTTATCACTGGGATGAAGGTACATGTATTGTATCTTAAAGGTCACAGCGAGTTTCATTAAGGGTATTGCATGTGGGCCAAAAAAGTAAAACACGATCCTAATGCTGTGATCTAGTAATACATTATAGCCAAACTGCACGTGTTTGTGTGTCGAAAGCAATTTTTGTGGATAATATCAATAAAAAAACACACACCTTGTGAAATATTAATAGCCAATATTCTGGTATATCGTCAGATTATCATCAAATTGCTGCAACATTTCAAGAACACAGGAAATAAAATTCGTAGACAAGCGATTTTCTACTATGTATTTTTTTTGTAAAGGATGTTTTATCTTCGTAAATATCTAAAATTAGTTAATTTTAGATGTTTATGATATTTTAGTGCTATAGATATATGTATGGCTTTTCTTGTCGATAAAAAGTAAGTTATGTCATCTGCATGCATGAAGAGACAATAACAAAATCCGTGGTCACAAATTAAATTCACAAAAAAGGGATTTTCAATTGACTAATTAATACATTTGAGAATAAACTCCATCTTCAAAAAAAATTGTTTTTAAGATTTAATCAAATCAAATTAACTTATATTCAAAAGTTAAAACTTACCGATAGCTTTCATATATTCGCCAAAATTTTCGCTACATTCAATCTCCCATTTTCCGTTAAACTGAGCCATCGTGAACACAACAGTAAAACAGACAAACGGAGAGAATGTTTACAGCGCTGCCGAGTTTTGTTCGTTGTTTTATAGACTTCCTGCGAGGGTTGATCAATGATCGCACGGAATGGCTGTGTCAGCGATGATAGCATCTAAACATTAGAATTACCTGGACGTTAACTTTGTCCTAGTCGTCCAATCTGAGTACGTTTTATGGTACTTATTTAAGGTGGTTCTATACCTTGATCTGTTGATTTCACTCTGTATGTTTTTAAAGGAAGGTGTGCACTTCTTTCCGCAGTATCTTAATGAATCATTTCCTTATAATGTACTATTTTAAATTTTTATAGGATGTATTGCGAATTAATCAAAGGATTGTGAAATCAGTAAATAAATTAAATTGAAACCATTATTCATCTGTGAACATTTTATTTCAGATATTTTGGTAGCATTTGGCATCTAATGAAAATTTAATATCATCTTCTGTTCTTTTAGTGGTTGCGACTCCATGTCATTGACAAATTCTCGAAAGGGACGTGAAACCAAAAAAATAAAGTCATCATAATAAATTTTTATATTTAAACGAGTAACTGTTCCAAGCACGCATGCTGACCTCATTTCAGAATTTGGAATATAAAGATTGTGGGTTTTTTAATATTTTTTTAAAATTATTTGTTTATCTTAAAATTTCTTGAAAAAATGCATAATACATCAAAAGAAATGCATAATACATCACATTAAAGAAATACATTTTAGAAATGCAGTAACGTCTAACTTTATCGTGTATATCTTTGAACATTCTCCAAGTATCATTTATCATTTGGGTGTGCATTTCAAAGCAGGAATATACAAAATATAATGGATTTCCGCTAGAGATTGTAAAGCAATTGATTTATCTGTAAATACCCATTGCCACCTGCCTATCCCCGACACATTGTCTTTGCATGTTCGGCATCAGTCTGTCGCACCCTTCCTGAAAGAGTAAGATTCTTTTTCACTAATGATTACATAAATCGCAAACATAGTTTATTTTTGCAGATTCTAGACATCACATTGTGCCATGATATGTACTGAGGTATGCACAAACAATATTCCGATCCGCCAGCCTTGCACTTGTTGTTTATTTGATCAGGCCACGAAGGTATTTTCTTCTGTCATAATATGTACTGAATGCTTTAGAGTTACTGTACTGAAGAATTATGTTGAGTAACAAGTAAAAATAAAAACAAACCTCGGAGAAAAAGAAATCAGTTTTGCAAAAGAAGACAAAGGTTCCATGTAATATACATTTTAGTAACTCATTTCTCGGTTCTTTTGACAATTGAAAAATATAAAGATCTAGAGAAAATGCTAGGAAACCTACAGATACTTGTATATCGTAGTTTTTTCTTTTCACAAACTTTGGCCAAAACACACCATGGGTTGACATGTTTCATAGTTTTGTGCTATCTCTCTTAGTCCATCATTTAGTGACGTCATCTCATGCTGAGGGCGTAGTCACAAACTTAAAAGTGGGGGGCTCAACTCCAGAAAATCTTTGACAAGCAAAAAAAAAAAAAAAAAAAAAAAAGCAAACTCTTAAAAGTGGGGGGGCTCAACTCCAGAAATTCTTTGACAAGCAAAAAAAAAAAAAAAAAAAAAAGGAAAGTTCCCCAAACTCGAAAATCCTATTTCTTGGGGGAGGGGTGGGGGGTAGTGGCCAATTTTTTCAAAAGAAGTTACTTTCAAATCCAATTATACAAAGTGGGGGGGGGCATTCAATGAATAATTCCTATAGTAAAGGTATTGTTGGGGAAAAATAGCTGTGATTTGGTATATGATGTTCATCTTAAAATATACACGTATGATACATTTATGTCTGTTTCCGCGCAACTCCTTCAAATATGTTAAAATCTGATCACAGTTTTGAAATACCTTGGAAATTGTATAGCAAATGTTCTGAAAGAAGCTTTTGTATTTTAGTTTAAAACAACTTTTGCATAAATGTGCTGCTTTATAACTAATCCTCTTAATTGTAACAAGCACGCCTGAATTTGGTCTGGGCTATGATATCAGAATTTCTCTATTTATTTAATTTTAATTAATTAAATCAATATTATAAGTATTAAGCAACGATATAAAAATTGTAAAGACATATTTGGAAATTAGATATGAGATTTAAATACCTATAACAACATTTCCAAAGATAGCATTTAGTTGAACGTTTTGCAATTTGTATTGATATTGAAATTCGAAGAAGGATTATATAAGTCCAAATTAACAATGAAAGAAGAGCTTAACAAGTAACTTTTATTACAGCCAGTTTGAAAATATTAGACGATTCTTTGGAGTATATGAGTGTTAATTCCCCCACCCCCATCCACCCCCCCCCCCCAAAAAAAAAAAAAACTCTAAATATTGTTTATGTATCGCCAGTGTAATGCATTTAAAAAAATCGTAGCACATCATAACCCACAATATTTATAGAATGTCAGATGTTGCATTTACTGAATTTTTCAGTATGTAGTACTTCAACTGAGTATGTTTACGAACATAGAGAATTCTTTTAATAAAAGCAAGATACGTTTGTGAAACACTGATATACCCTGCTGACGCATCTTATCTCCAAAGGTCAAGGTATAAATGTAACGTCTTTCAAAAGTATAGGTCAAAGTCCATATGTGAAATGTGAAAGCACTACAGAATATAGCTAGCACCAACCAACCATAAGTCATGGTCAAGGATGATCTTTCTAAAGTGTCTGTAGAACAAACTCTAAGATCAACTGAGATCACGGGGTCAAAAATGTCATGGTTGATAGATCTGTATTAAAAGGAAGGGGGGGGGGGGGAACACGGACCACACATATAAAATATGAAATGCCTAGCACCAAACATTGATAAATTAAGCCAAGGTTGTTTTTCAAAGTTAGGTAAATATTTCAAATTTTACAAGTGAGAATGCAGAAATACATAGGTGCCAGTGGCGGATCCAGAGGGGGTTGCCCCCCCCCCCCCCCCACACACACACACTTTGGATTTGCAAAAATGAGAGAAAGAAGAAAGTCCCTAATTTTTGTTGTATTTTTACTACAGAAAATGTTCATTGAAAGGCTAATGTTGTAATATACAAAGAAACAAAATGAAACCCCGCCCCCTTAATTTTCAAATAAGGATTTTCGGGTTTGGAGATTTATTTTCCTTTCCTTTTCAAAAACTTTTTTGGTAATTCATACAAGTATTTTCCCCAGATTGATCAACCTTCTAACTCTTAAAACCATACACCACCATGTATCTTATTGAGTTTTTTAATTACATGTATATATATATATGTAAAACGTACGTTATAATAACTCTTTTCCTCTTCAGCCCCCCCCCCCCCCCCCCCTTCAATCCACCTTTGAAGAAATTCTAGATTCGCGCATGGGCACCTTATTTTAGAACTATGCCTGTCATTTATATATACAGTCATAAAAAGTACTTAAATGTATTACATATAATTATTAAGAGATGAATTTTACCGCAGTACATGTATGCTTGATGTAATGCGAGTACACGAAGTACATGTAATGAGGAATTATCTTACCCAGTACCCACCCACCCTCATCCTGACCCCCCAAAATATACTGTACATACAATATGATGATGTTTACTAATATAATGCAAATCTTATTATATCGTAAAAACTTAAGCCAAAAAAAGGGGGGGATGAGCTCGATGGAGAAGCAAATATTCCGGAATTATTATGTTTATACGATAACCATTTTCACATTTCTTTGATACTGAACCATTTCCTACTTGATTTCTTCCCGCGAAAGTTTAATATCATGAAAGTAATCTATGAAAATGATGCGTTTATTTCTTAGTGTCACCTTCATTTATTAATTTTGTTTTACTTTGGTAGCCTACAGTTATCACCAGAATGAGTGGGAATGAATTTGAAGTTGATGGAAATAAGAAATTTAAAAGTTTAAATGAAAGAATTCCTGCTGACCTTTGCGGTTTGGATTTCACATTCCATACATTCAATAAGATGTATATCCAGGACATTATCAATTTGGAAGCTTGTAATGTTATTCCAGGTATGTAATTCATGACTGCAAACGAACGGCAGCACAGCCTTCTAGAATTATAATCTTGAACACATCTTTTGTGATGAAATACATTATTGGTGTCAAATGCTGTGAAATGCATGATCATAAGAAAAAAAGTTTTCTTTATACTTTCCTTTGTTCCCAGCAATGATCTCCTGATTTATTTACACATGATTTTCTTCATGCCTTACCATAATAATTATTTAATATGATTTAGTAAAGGTTTTTAAGAAATCAGGGTCTAGTCTGTCATTATGGGTTACTGCGTCAGCTAACCTATTTATGGTTTGTTCCAGTGTTGCAAAATGCACATGAAAAATCAGGTTTAACTTTCTTTTTTTCTTTGATAGAATACATGTATGTACTATGTTTAAAACAAAGTAAGTTTTTGACAAACAAGTTGATGAAACATGAAAATCAGCAGTCTCTTTTAAAGTCGTCATTTTGTTAGTTCTATGGTCAATACAATGGCCTTGTCAGCTAATTCAATCTATCATTACATCAAATGCTGACTGAAGTGTTTCATATAAATTGTTACATGAAGGCCATTATTTACATCTACTGAAATGTTGACAGATTTTTCTCTTATGACAAGGAGCACACGGCAGGTGTGACCGTTTAGCAGGGGATGCTCACTCTTCTGTGACACCCCGTCCCACCTCTGATGTTTGAGGGTCTGTTTTTGCTCCCTTCCAACTTTGTAATGTTTGATGGACTTTTGGGCTTGAACATCTGAGATTTTTTATCTCCATGTATATGCATCAAATTTATGAATAAATAATATTATTATACTACTTAAGGAGTAGTTTTTTATTATGTCCTATTGATTTTGTTAAAGTTTATGTCAGTTTTAATCAATATTAATTTATGATCATGATTTTTATTTTTACAACAAAGGCTTCCCAGCATAGGAGTGTATAATGAATTAAAACAACTCAATACTTTTACAATTTTCCAGAAAATTAGAGAACTCAAAAGTTGGGAGAAATTGGTTTTGAATTTTATTTTGAATTTGCTAAAGGTCTCAATGAAAAAATAATTTTGACAATGATTCACATTTATTGTGATCATTGTACCTGCAAAAATAATCAGCATCATCACATACATGTGACATAGTTCAAAGGTATTATGTATATTATATCAGTACATAGAATGTTTGCAGCCAAATCTGATGCTTTGGCGTTTGCATCTATACAGCAAAACTCGTTTTACTAGTAAGAACACAGATATTGTGAATTAATGGATACAGCAAAGTCATCTTGGATACTCATATATATTAATTTAATGAATTTCTTATGCGGTTATAACAAATTACGGAAATAGCGAAGTAATTTCAAAGGTCCCAGTGACTTTGTTATAGCCAATTTGATGCCTTATATCAATATGTTGTATTTTCTATGTGTTTGGTGCCTAGTCATTTTCTGGAAATGAGTTAATGACAAATGAGACTTGCTATAAAAGAGCCTTGCTTGATGCCATTGGCAACTTTTAATAAATTGTTTATTTGCCATCTCCCCATCAACCACATGGCTTAAAATGGCCTGATTCAAAACTTTTTTTTTACCTCCAGGAAACAAAGATTTTTTTTATTCATTCAGAATGTGCCTCCTCCCATTATTACTATTTAATTTATGTTTTGAGCAAAAAAAAACCTCTACCTATATTTTCTTGAGTTAAAAGAAGGCAAGCAAACATGTTTTGATGACCTTCATAGGGATGGGGGGAGGGGGTGAAAACATTTTGGAAAGGGAGGAATTTGATGTTCAGCCAGCTTTGATTGCTTGAGGCCAGATAATTCAGTTGGTATTGCACCACATGTCTTGAAATCAAGTGTCCAAACATACAATCCAGGTCTTCTTCCCTATTTTTATTTCCTTCCTGTTACATTCCTTAAGAAGTGCAGGCATAAATTATATATGATTCTTAGAATTCTTACATGAAATTACTGTATGTAAAGCAGAATTTTTAGTGAGGATTTAATTTTGGCATTTTTAACTAGGGTGCCAAGATCACTAAAATTGAATATCGCTAAAAAGTATTGTGCTTTATTTGTAATAGCTTCTTTAGTGAGCTTTTTGAAATCGCTAAAACTGCATCTCGCTAAATATAAAATACCAGTTTTAAAGGACAAATCGCTAAATTTGCGTCTCGCTAAAATTTCCACTTATACGGTATATCAATATTGTTTTTCCATTTCTATTTTACCAAATAGCCCATATTTATTTCAGGAATGTATTGGTATAAAAAGCACCCAATTTATAAAGTGGACATCATTGGAATTGTAGTAAAAAGACAAGAAAATGTAAAGTGTTTTGTTTACGGAGGTATGTTCATTTTATTCCTGAATAAATTTTCACTTTCATGAAATAATTTTTTTTGCAAAAAAAAAAAAAAATACCTTTTAGTTTCTAGTGGCATAAAACATATTCCTCAACCACACCCTATTCACAAATTATATAATAAATGGAGATTGAAACAGTTATTGAATTGTCACAAATTGTTGTATAAAGACAATGAGAACTTATGTCAGTTTTTCAACCATGCATTATTTTACAACTAAGCCATGAGTAATTCCAAATTCAACATGTTCAAAGGTACAAAGTACCTATACATGTTTAAATCTGCTGGTTTTTGTACAGTAAATCCTTTTCTTTTTTGCTTTGAAATTAATACTGTTGGACTCTCAGAGTTGTAGAAGAGGTAACAAGCGAAAAATCATTTATTACTGTAACAGTGTAACTTGTTTAATCCATATGCTGTGTATTCCAAAACCTTGCCTTGTATGATGTAGCATTTAAGTTCTTTTCAGTTATTCAATTGCTTAAATATTTTTATTTTTTAAATTCTAAATTTAATTTTTTGTCTTGTTGGAATGTTGGGGAGGGGGTAATTTTCTTTGGAATCTTAATGTATAGATAAGACACCTTTACTGTTTACATTTATATTCCTTAAAATCCTTCATGGGTTGGTCTACTAAATGGTGTCAACATTAGAAATACATGTAATAAAGAAAAAGTTTAACGTTTCCTTTAATATTTCTAAGTTGATGATGGTACTGGTGTCATCACTTGCTGCTGTTGGAAAAACAGAATGAAAAATCAAAGTCCAGAAGGTAGATTATGAAAACTCGTTCTAATCTTATTTTTAACTTAAACTGATGTAACACCCATACGGAAATTATGATTCATTTCTTATTTAAATTATTACAGAAATGGAACACTTGATAAAGGGAGGTAGCAAGCTACCAAAAGTGTTGAAAGAGAAGGTTTCAGCCATTATGATGTCTCAAAGTAAAATGAATGAGGGTTACTCTCTGGGAGACTTGGTCCACATCCGGGGTAAAATTAGAATTTTCAGGGAGGTGCGAGAAGTTATGGCATCTTATCACAGTATCCTTTTCTATACTGTACACATGGTAGATGTATAATATCTCAGTATATAAATAAAGGTATTTTCTAAAAATTTCAATACTGCATAATTATTTGATTTCTACAGGTGTTTGTTTTGACATGTTTGAAAAAATTGTCATGAATTTAATCAACTTTTAAAGGAACTGTTAGAAATCACACATTTCAACTGATTTGGATATGTTAAAAAAAAAAAAAAGCAATAAATCCAAGGAATAAAAAACCAAGTTTCTCAAATAGGAACTTGTATTAAATTTTGTGAAATACATGAAGAGAAACACTTAACAAACTGACAAGATAAACTTGAAGATCCTAATATGGAGCTTGTCAGAATGGCAGAACTTCCAGGGCTGTACAGGACATCGTATGATGTGGATACTTTACCAAAGAAAGTCCTGGAAGAGATCACAGAAATGTCTCAAGGCAACAATGTAAAAAGATGTCAGAGAGAGGTAACTCTTCTCCACAGCCATTTGGTTTTGTTTAACTGTCTATACATAATTTTATCAGATCATAAGACAGAGATCCTGATCAAAGTTAGTACAATGCCTGTAACTAATAATCATGTATGCACTTCACAAATTGTTTGTTGCTTTTTATTTTGAAATATTTTGTCAAAGGGATTGTACACAAGTTCCATAAACTTAAATTCAGCTTCTGAAGGACATAAGCATGATATGATAAGACAAAAATCTTTTGAAATTGAAATGAAGAAAATTAAGATTGTAAATGGTAAACTTATTATGAGAAATACAGAATATAGATGTGAGTTTTTGAATACCTGCAGTAGGGTAAGGCCATAATAGGATATATAGTATTGAAAAATTTATGGAACAGACTACAGTAAAACTTGTTTATAAAGAACATCATTTTTAAAGAAATGATTTTTTTTAACCCTATTGGAAATGAAATACAGATGTTAAAAATTAAGTAAGACTGGATGAAACATAAAATGGCTTTGAACAAGCTCCTTGTTCTGTTAACAGGTTGTACCTGAATTAAAAAGACTTCTGTTGACTTACTTGGAGGAGCATCAACCTGATGAAATAAATATAAAGTACATAAGTAGCCTTCCTCAAGTGACTGAATTGTTGGAAAAGGTAGGAAATTATAGTTAAATGCTGAATTATTGTTTACAGGATGCTAGTTTTCAAGGCTGAATTCAACATATAGTAGAGTAATATATCCAGTAATACTGTACATGTAAATGAAGTAAATTTTCACAATTCTTTTCTGTGTAATGAAGTTCAAGTTTTGTTTAAAATTTCTTTCAAAAATCTGAAACACCACCAAAAATTGCAGGAATTGTGTCAGTATAAAGCCATATGTAATAAATTGATTTGAAAAATATACTGTAGATCACTAAATTTTCGCAACACCTTATTTTCATGAGATAGTCATTGACTCTTTATTAGCGAGACATAATTTTAGTGAATTGTTGTTTTTCCTTTATATAATCGTTAGGAATACTTTTAAACACGAGAATGAACTTTTCGCAAGCTCATTGTCTCGCGTTATTAAAAATTAAGTTTCGAATAAAACGTGATTTACAGTAGTATCCAACTTCTTGAAACCTTTATGCATGTAGATTTTTTATTATTATGAAAAAAATCTTCATTAGTTTATTATATCCAATACAGTTCATTGAAAAATGCATTTTATAACTTCATATGCTTATAAAAACTGAGTGACATCTTCATGGCCTCACTGGGTGAAAATATGGGTTTATAACCCAGGAGAGCTTCAGCTTTGTCTCTTCTGAAGTAAAGGTCCATGTTAATATACTTGACACTGCATGACGCTGTTTGAATGTTGATTCTCACTAATGGAGAAATAAGCTTCAAAACAAATTCAAAAATCACCAGTGGCCAATAAACTGCAGCGAATGGAATCCTGTAGGAAGAGAGGGCCATGGCTCTGCTCTCCAAGAATGGTTTCATGAACTCGAAAGAATTAGACAGTGGGGTGTCATCTGGTATAAAGAAGGCCTGTCCTCCTATGGATTTATTGGATTTTAAGGCTTTGTCAGCACAAAGAAATGCCCAGGCAGCATTTCCGGCATAACACTGTTGAAACAGATTTTTTCCATTACCTACTTGCACAAGTGTTCCCTTTGAGCTCTGGGCCGAGTGTAGTCCATTGGCAACATAATACTGATCCCCTTCTCCATACATTACATTGGCTCTGAGAGACACTGTAGCCAGTGATTCTCCTAAAAAAACAAAGGATGAACACACTATATCAACAAAATCAGGTTAAAATGTTATATATGAAATTATTATACTGAAGAAACTGAGCACATTTTTTTGTTTTTTGTTTTACTAAAAAAAATATTACAAGGCAATATGAATTCTATATTGATAAAATTAAGATTTAATATGAACAATGATCTATCTCAAAAATTTCAAAAACAGTACAAATATGCTAATGGGTCATTAATAATAGTTGCTTGAAGATTTCAGAGGTTGGATCAGGTACCCTTGAGATGTTTGAAGCCCCAGTATGTGTGGAGAAATTAAAATGATTTCTACAGTAAAATGCATATATTCAAATCAGTAATGGAAAACACGGTAAAGATATGTTAACAGGAACAAAACTCAAATTGCAGAATGATCATATTGCAAATTATACAAAAAACCCAATAGAATTTAAAGCAGCTTTATGCAACACAAAGGTGTAGCTGTTCAGAAAGCTGCTCTCATTTGTCAAAAATTGGCAAACAATTTTTTTTTCTTTAAAAAATTCAGCCAGTGTCACAGTTCTGATAATCACAAAATCTACAAAACACGGTTACATATACATTGTATCAGTTTGATGATATCCCTAACAATATGTTGGATCAAAATTATAATTTTTATACAAAAATGGGATTAAAACGCAATTCACAGACAAGAAAAGCTCCAATATGGATAGAATTTAAAGTAGATTTGTTGTCACATAAAGTAGTCATATAAAGGAAAGTTCTACAAAAATAAGATCGTTTCAGAAAAAGTTACAATACTTCATTCTTACCATTTACAGTAGGTCTTCCATTGGCTTGTAAAACCATACATTCTTGCATGTATTTCGTCTCTGGGTATCCAGGAAAAAGAAATTTAGATGGCTTTCCTGTCGTCTGCTCAGTGCCGTCTCTGATGTCATCGAATCCAATAACGACATCAACTGAGCTACACAAGACAAGTCTTTGAACACCACATTCCACGCATGCATCCAGTATCTTCTGTGTTCCTGTTACACAATTTTAAAATGAAACTTAATTTTAAATAGCAAGAATTAATTTGATATGAGAAACAAAATGCACTGAATTTCTCTGAAGGGTGCGGGAAGACGTATTAAAACAAGCTTGCAAGCTGCAAAGAAAACTATTGCTATTTTAGAAATCTTTGAAACTAAAGTTGAAAAAAGATCAAATTTGGTGGAATACCCTTGACGTTGATTTCTATCATGGCGTCAATGTCTGGTGACGTCCCAAAGCTGATGAGGCCAGCCACATGGAACACACTGGACGCTTTCCGACACGCTTTCTCTACCACGCTGTAATCCGTGACGGAACCCACAAAACTTGTCAACGGAATTCTGTCCTCATATTCTGAAATAATTTTCTCATATTTTGATAATAATAATACCTTATAAAACAAGGATTGAAAAAAAAATATTACTTTACCACTTTAATGCGAGGGATGATCACATTGTTCGTTATTGGAGTGTTTAACCTTACCAATGCATTAATGTTAATATCAACTGACACAACTGAAAAATCTGAATGTAACAAAGAGGATGTAGAAGGGCTCTTCAATTTCAGAAATCGTGTTAAAAAGGTACTTTTTTTAAAAAAAAAAAAGAAAGAAAGAAAGAAACACAAGCAGCCACACCTTTGCAACAAATTTTAAGAATATAAAACTTTCCTCTCAAAAATTTTAACTAAAAGAGAAATATTTTTGTGGTAACTACTTCAAATTTGTGTTGACTTAAAATCTCCGATTGGGGACCGGCGTACCTAGTTGTTTGATGAAAGGCTTCAGATCCAGTACACGGATTTCTTTGACATAGTCAGCCCTTTCCTGTAATATTTTGACAATATGCTGTCCCAGAAACCCCGCCCCACCGGTCACCACGATCCTGTCTGTCCTTAGCGTCATGGGGATGCTGACTGGTGTTTTTGCTCCTAAATTCGCGATATTTGAAACTAAAGATGAACGTAAACCAAAACGTTTCAAGCATACATCGATAAACCACATTGCAATAAAATGGATGTGTATATTTTCTCAATTTCTTATATGTAGATTGTTATAATATAAATGAATAAAGTGTATACTCACAATTAAAGAGGCAGTTTTATCTTGGTGCTCTGAAGTATACAAGTCCTGATAAATGAAAATGAACATCTGCAGTGCTTTATTGTCTGATGTACCACGTGACTTTCATTTTCTGTAATCCTCTTTACAGGAAAGGCTATTAATGATCACAAGAAAGGATTGATAAGGAGAATCAATGCTATTTGAGAAACTCCCTATTGTGCAACTTAAAATGTTGCACCTGATTCTGAATCAGATTAATTACAAAGGGACAAATTTTAAATTGAATATTTTCGCCATTAACAGAGATTTTGTCAGGTGTATCTCTCTTTTGGCGTAAAAAATATTTTAGAGATAATTGTTTTTTTGATAATTAAATTAATTTCGGCAGGGCAATACCTTTTCTAAGTTTTTGGTTGGATTTTATCTGGAAGTCCCATTTTATCGTGACTTTAAATATTTATTTTCTTTTCAAATATGATTTCTAAATCTTGTGTCTAGAAAAAAAACATGTAGATTCTCCCAAGACCAACTGAAATTTAAGAAGATTTTTAAATAAATCTATTCATATAAATGTCGTACTGACAAGTAAATAAACGTTGTTTTTTTTATTTATCAGATTATAAAAGAGTTGGACAATGCCCTGAAATGATTCTAGTCCTTTATTTCAGGACGGTTTATCTATAGAAAGAGAAACTGCGTTGCAGAAAGCGCTAGGTAACTTGGAAGAAGAAGGATGGATATTTACAAAGGAGAACCACTTAGTATACGAGGTGAGTCGGGTGACTTCTTTCAGTTTTGTATTTACTTCCCTTACTAGTATTTTTGTCTTCTATTCGAAACATACGGGTAGTATTTACCCTTTTTCTTCATAACTTTAGGTAATTAAACCTGACTGTCCATTGGAAAATCTTATAATGGATATTCTTAAGAGGGACTGTGTGAAAGAAAAGTGTATGTACAATGTAATTTTGGAAAATCGTTTATTTGTATGATTGTATACTTTCAGTAATTTTTATAATTTTTTAGTGCTATATGTTCATATTATCCCCCTTAACCCTTTAATTAAATGATTTACACCCTTATTGTTCTTTCTTTTTTCAGATCAGGATGAAGGGTGCCAATTTATGCATATCGTGAAGGAAGTTCGTAACACCCAGAAATACAGTGCAGTTCAAAACACTTGTATCCTAACTTGTCTTAATAATCTGGAATACCGAAGTGATTTGATAAGGACATCTTTCTATAAATATATTTTGTGTACAGTTTGACCAAGTAATTTTGATACCTTTAACTTTTGTGACTAAATCATTTTAAGCATTGAAAAGTTATGTTAGCTAGTCTTCCTGTTCAATTAGTTTGAATTATATACGATTAAGATTACAATCATTTTAATATGATATAGTAAAGGTTTTTACTATAGGGCTACCAATATTTCTAATACATTCTCCAGTGAAAAAATCTTCCTGGATATTTTGCTACTGGTTTGTTGTAATCTTTCTTGTTAAATCTGGACTTTGAAATTGATAAACCTTTCTACACTGCGCACTAAAGAGTTCTGATTCTATGGACTTTTTTCTGCAGTAAGAATGATCTGTTCTAAGATCATCTTAATCCCAATTAATAGAAATTTACAGCATATTACTCAATTTGTAGTCAATTCAAGTATTCTTTTTTAAAAGGTAAAAGATAAATTAATTGAATGTGTTATTTACATGTATGTTTTTTTTCTCCTTGGAAGTAAACAACAATGATTTCTGTTCACTGATACTGTGTTGTATATGTAATTTTTCTCTGGGTGCAAATGCCACTTACCATATTTTTAGACTTATATAGACAAGCTCAATATGTACACCTTCACTTAAAATATTTTTTTCAATGTCCAAAAACATTTTGCACTTTGCTGTTTTTATTAAATTGAATGGGAACATACTTTAAGGTGATTAATTATTTATCATTAATTTCCATTTCTGATTTTCTTCTCTGTGATAACTGTTTGGAAGTTGGGGGAATTTATTTCTTGATAATTCTGCCGGAATGTAAATAAGGCAGGTCGACAGGTCAGCAACTAAGGAGACCTAATACGCATGCAAACCTTGTGCGCATCTGTCTCTGTGTCTGACGCTAAGGAGGCCAAATATGCATGTAAATCTTGTGCGACTGCCTTTATGCCTGTTTTGACGTCGTTGTGCGAGGACAATTGAAATTGACATGGAAGTCCTCGTGTAACATTTAAATTTATTAGTCTACATTTTTTATGTATAAGTCTACAATTTTATTTCACAATGAAATGAAAATATAAGGAATCACTGTCTTGTTTTGAGAGTATTTATGCCAGGGACATCAACGATAGTGGGAAACATGGGATAATTTTTGCATAACGGGCTTCGCCTACATGTACATGCAAATTATCACGTTTCCCACCATTGTTGATGCCCTGGCATACTCTCAAAACTAGACAGTGATTCCTTAAATATACCATATTTCGGGGGAACAAACTTTACAAGTAAAAAATACTTTTACACTTTTACAGTATCCTTGTGCAAATTATACTTACTTATGAAGTAGTCTTTATTAATGGAAGATGAGAAAGTAGATTATTTATATGATGAAATTATGGGGAAATAAAATACAAAGGCAACATTTGTTAAAATGTAAAGTTTTAACACTTTCATTGTTTTCTCCAAAAGATCTTAACAATTTAAACTTGTCACCAAATAAAGTTACCTGGTGGTAATGCAAAAAAAAAAATATATACAATGTAAATGTAAAGAAAAATTGCAATAAACAATAAAACATTCTTTTAAATATTAAAAAAAAAATTATTCTCAAACAAAAAATTTTGCTTGAAGAAATGTTATGTACAATAGTACCCATGTAATAAACAATGAAACGTCTTTTGTAAAACTAATATTAAATTATGGGATTTTTAGATAAATACATGTAACTAACAATAATAATGTTTCCAAGGCTATTGATTCAATACAAAATTAGGGAAGAAGAAAAAAAGAATCTGTTTAATAATCTAGACCATTGTATGTTCACATCGATTCCCATTCTTTTCATGATGTTAATTGTACTCTAGTTTTCACCTTGATATGTACTTTCCCATAACGACAGATTATTTAAATATCGTATAAATATATGCATCATAAATTTTTACTCCAGATCAAAAACTAAAGTACTTTTTGAGTTTTTCACATTGACTGCATTTAAATTATAAATTTCCACTATTAGAAAAATCCCTATTATTTGCGCTGTAACTTACCAGGCAGACAAAGTGCATGTATCTTAATTTTCCTTTTTATATACCTTAGGTGCTGGGGTCATTAAATGTACCTATTTTAGACCAGATTTAATTTGTTTTCACGACAGGTCGTTTTAAGTGCAGTCTTTGTTTCATTTAGAGTACAAAGAGTTTTTAGGGTTAAATTCCATAAGTTTATATCAACGCTCTTTTCTTTACAATGAGAAGTTTCATAAGAAATTTTGTCAACGGAACCTTCTGGCTTCAACGAATTACATACAATTGGTAAATTATTTTTCAACAAATTTTTGTTTTTTATGATCGGCTTTTAGAGCTTTGAACACAGTAGAGATAAAATGTTTTATGGAAATGAAAAAAATAAACTTATTGGTTTTCTTGAATGAATTTTTTTAAATTAAAATTAAGCAATTTGTTGTCAGAGAATGAGAGAGAGAGAGATAATCCGGCCTCTTTGAGGGTCAAATAGATAAATGAAGTTAAATAAGACTTACATTCAACAATATCTTCTGGAAGATTTCCTGAACATCCACATCCAAAATACTTTGTACTTTTTTAAATCTTAGTGTTACTGAAAAGAAATTTTATTCGCATAACATTTCCTTTCAGAAATCGACTTTAACAAAGTCGCTGATATTGGCAGACAAATCAGATTCTTGTAGAGAATACCTGATCATTAAAAAGAAATTTAAATATAACTACATGTATATATATTTATACCTGGCATAACTAAGAGTTTTTTTTCTAGATTGGCCTTATCAGTTCCGTAGAAAGCGTAGTCTTCCTATACCTTAAATATGTAAACCTTGAATTGGATACTGCTCCTTCAACTTCATTTTGCTGTACAATAATTTCAAATTTCACAACTCAAAAGAAAAAAAGTTTGCTTTAAACTGTTCGTGCTGTCCTAAATTCCGAAGGTCAACATATTAAATATGAAGCGAGAAAAAGACGTTGAATAAATGAGTTGAATTTTGTCTTAATGTAGATTCTTTTATTAAGGGTTTGCTATTGTGTGCAGCGAAGTGAGACTCACTGAAAATAGAAATCTTAATATCTTTAAAAATAAGCCTTGCTAACACTTGAAAACTGGTCCATTTCATCTTCATAATGAAAACCATCTTTGGGTATATGCAGCTACATTGACACTTGCAGTAGTTTGCGGCTATGAAGTGCACAATACACCTGCAGGACTGCGCAGCCACAGGTTTTAGCAGTGCATTAAAAAATCAAAAAAAAAAAATGAAATAGTTAAATAAACAAAGTGGCTACAACTATTTGTGAAGAACCATTGTTTTAAATGAAAACTGACTGCAACAGGTACAATTCTTAAAATGCATACTTGTCAGTTCAACAAGAAAATGTTAGCCATGAAAGTAGTGCCAACCACATGGCAATGTATTAAAAATAGAATTAAAGAGACTCACTGTTGTTCTATAAATAGCACTTTATATGAAAGCCCAAATTTATCTAAAGGATTACTCTAAGGTGTGTACAAAACAGGGAAATAAATGTTAGACAATTAATTTTCTTCTTTAAAAAATATGCTAATTAAGAGATTAACAATCTGTAGGGTAGTGAAAGTGTGCAATTTAAATGACATTTGGCCCACAATGTTTACTAATGAGTCATATTGGTGTTCTTCAGATTTCTACGACATTCTTATCCCCCTTAATTCTCGTGAAAAACAAATACATGTATGGGCCAATATTTTGGCCCCACTTAGGGGTCATAAGGCCACATCTAATCCAAAATTGATTCCAAAACATGAGGATATTTCATCATCAATATGGCTAACAATGCTTATTCTGAAGAAAAATGTTTACTGGTTTTTCCCCACATGTATGTATATATGCAATGACCAGTTATATAAATTCTGATCCCAGAAGAAGAAAAAAATGAAAATACAAATGGGAAATATATTAATATTATTAAAATTAGGTCTGGTCCATGATTTAGACCAACTTGAATCTTCACTATATTTGAGATTATGCTCGCATTTAACTATGAGTAAATCATTACCCTGCTGCTCGTTAAAGGACCATTTTTATACGCCCGTTTAAGACGGGACGTATATGTTATAGGCTTCGTGTCCGTCCGTCCGTCCGTCCGTCTGTCCGTCCGTCCGTCTGTCCATTCCTGTCCGGCTCATAACTTGAATACTATTAAGCCTAGGATTATCAAACTTTGTCAACTCATACTTCTTGGGTAGACGGTGTGTCGCCCACAAAAAGTAGGTCGCTCTGACCTTGAATAAATATGCTATAGCCAAATATGGAAAAATCCTGTCCGGCTCATAACTTACTTCAAAAATACCGAAAACTATTAGACCTAGAGCTTTCAAACTTGGCAAAAGTATACATCTAAAGTAGAAGGTGTGTCGTGGCCTATTTCAAGGTCACTGTGACCTTTAATTATAGTGAATTTTTTTAAAAAACTAAGTCTTTTAAATTTTAAATTTCATAATCCTAAAAAATGTAAAAATATAGTTGTATGCTTATTAAAAAACGTTAAATTAAGTAAAAACTTGTTTAGTTTCATTATATACTTTACAGCAATCTGTAACAAATGTTTATGCTTTGAGAGGAATTCAGTTTGTCCCATGGGCTTAATTATCAAGCACTGGTCAAGAAGAATTTTGATAGCAGAAATTTGCATGTCAAATTAGAGAGAAATTAATGAGTTTATTGTCAGGAGCTAAGAGCACCTCTAGATCTGATGCAGATGTTATCTTAATTCATCTATTGGGAGTTGGGCAAAAAGAAATGGCCTCATAGTTGCTTGTGCTAATTAAGAGTTCTTGATGGCTAGTCCAGATAAAGATCTTTCAATAGGTGTAATGAAATTAAAACAAATTGATGTTTTAGTGTATGATTAAAACTAAATTAGTATTGTATAATATGATTAAAACTAATTATATATGTGTTCATTTAAAAAAAATATATATATATTTCAATTTTTATATATTTGCAACAAAGATGCTATAGCAAAATATGGAAAAATCCTGTCCGGCTCATAACTAGAAAACTATTAGACCTAGAGCTTTCAAACTTAGCAAAAGTATACATCTAAAGTAGAAGGTGTGTCGCGGCCTATTTCAAGGTCACTGTGACCTTTAATTAAAATGAATTTTTTAAAAAACTGTCTTTTAAATTTTAAATTTCATAATCCTAAAAATGTAAAAATATAGTTGTATCCTTATTAAAAAACATTTAATTAAGTAAAAACTTATTTTTTCATTATATACTTTACAGCAATCTGTAACAAATGTTTATGCTTTGAGAGGAATTCAGTTTGTCCCATGGTCTTAATTATCAAGCACTGGTCAAGAAGAATTTTGATAGCAGTAATTTGCATGTCAAATTAGAGAGAAATTAATAAGTTTATTGTCAGGAGCTAAGAGTGCTCACCTCTAGATCTGGTGCAGCAGTTATCTTAATTTATCTCTAGGGAGTTGGGCAAAAAGAAATGGCCTCATAGTTGTTGTGTTAATTAAGAGTTCTTGATGGCTAGTCCAGATAAAGATCTTTCAATTGGTGTAATTAATTAAAACAAATTGATGTTTTAGTGTATGATTAAAACTAAATTAGTATTGTACAATATGATTAAAACTAATTATACATGTGTTAATTGAAAAAAAAAAATTAAATTTCAATTTTTATATATTTGCTACAAATTGCAGTCATGTCTCACTAGTATTATTTGTTATAATCAATCCCTACACTGTAAGTCTCTTAGAGATGTATAATAAGAAATGGAAAATAGATAATTGAAATCTGTGTCAATCTGTTAATCATGGCTACCTGATTTTCTTGCATCCTAACCAATTTATGATTATTGAACAATATTTGACGGGCGTATCATGCTGTGGCGGGGCACTTTATTTACTATACATTCCCATGCAAGACTTTGATACTGTACCCTTAATTGTTTAGGGTTTAATTTTCATGGATGACAAATAAACAGAGTTAACAGACACCAGAGACCCTTTGATCAGAAAAGCTCCATACATCCTTTTGCTATGACGACTTAATTAAGATATTAAAATGTCTTTGATTATTGTAAAAAAAAATTCACAAAGAAGAACAAAACATCACTTCCAGAATATTATATTTCTTTTAACATGTTAACCCACATATCCAAGTTTGACTAATTTTTTTAAAAGTTTCTTTACAGATATAATAAAGGTATTTTTTTTAAAATAAACTTCAATCTTAACAATATAACTGCAGTAAGAGGATATCTGAGACCTGTGTTCTCAGCACTGGTTTCAAAAGACTAATTTAAAAACATTTTGTGCATTTAATGCACTGCACAAGAACACATATAAATTAAGTAAAAAATCTAATTATAATATCCTTTACCAAGATCCCAAATGTTCTTCATTGGAAACTTGTGGAAAGTTCATATATGTATTTTTGTTTATTGTCATCATATGATCTTTTTCAACGATGTATGGAAAGTTCAACACATGTGTAAATACTACCATAAAATCAAATAACTTTCAAGTCACATAGTAATAAATTAGATCAGAGTCTTCATTTGTTGCTGATATTTTCTCCAACACTGTTTTCCAAAAGATTGAGACAAACCAACATGGACAATCTCTATCATTAGAACCATTTCCTCTTTATCTTTGAAATCTGTAAAATAATATAACATAACATTAAAAAAACCAGTACAGTATCAATATCAAAGAAGAAAATTGAATTGGATAATAAATCTATACATCTTGACTAAGAAAGAAGCATTAAAAGATGGACATGTATATTTCAGGGTCAAAGGTTACACATCCCTCAGCAATTATTGTAACATTGTAAATATTTGCAAAAATTGTTTGTTGCATTGAATATACACATGTTTCTCATTTTAATTTACAATTGTGTAGATCACAGTAGTTTAATCCATACACTAGAGATAAATATTTTAATTTGTATACAAAGAGGTTAACCATAAATAAGATCAAGGTAAACTCAATTGGTGATCATGTCATTCTTCTTTGGAAAGTAAATGAGACAAGCATATAGGATCATGTTCTTAAATGAGGCAAACAAGTTTCAGTACAAAATCTTAAGGTTAAATGACAAGGTCAGGATTTGATAGCAGAATTTTAAAAACCTGATATTATGACCTGTGTTACTGTTAGTAAGCTACAAGATGATGATCAGAAACAGTCCCTCCCAAAAGAGATTGAAGATTTTTATTACTTAAAAATAATCTCTGATTTGACCTTAATTTCTTCATCCAGACTATTTACCAAACATTTGTACCTACATGTACATTGATTTATAACATGATGTTATAGGCCTACATATGGCTTGATTATTAATTTACTTGCTCAAGCAGCCATGGGTACAGTACAAGGAACTAATTTTGTTACATAAATCAGCATCTGCATCAGCAAAATAAGCATCAGCTTTAATTCAGCAACCACCTAGCATCAGGATAAGCATTAAAAAAACAGCAAGCTGCTAAGCATTGCCAATATCAGCATCAGCAAGCAAAGAAAGAATTCAAATCAGCATCGATGCTGAAACAAAGTTAGTTCTTGCACTGTAAAAGAGAGCTGTAGGCAGACTCTGACCATGGCTTGAGACAATTTGATGGACACATACATGTATAAACATTCATTTAAACAACATCTCTCTTTTCATCCAACTGTATATACATTTCTCATCATAAAAATTATACATTCTTCCATTCTATACACATAGAAGAACATTTGAATTCAATACAAAATGAAACTGACTAATCAGCTCACTATGATATAACAGCTAGTACATTATACTGTGTTAAACCCTCGTTTAAAATTTACAGAATTACTCCATTGTGATATAAAACTAATCTCATACCTTATCATAGAACACCTACAAGGGAGGTTCTTGGGAGGGCTGCAACACAGGCATCACATGAAGTACAGAAATTGGTAGTCCAGAGAAATATCTGAGCAATGTTCTTTTTAGTGAAACAAGGCATTCTGTAAACATGGTAAACATAGTTACAAGAAATTTTATTAAAAAGTTCAAAGGAAATTCTTTAAATTAAATCTAGCTATTAAATAATATAACTGTCTTTGTTGAAGGGTGTCAGTGTTTTGACTGATTCAGAATGTTTTTTATTTACTGAAAGTGCATCACAAAAATTTTTATCACCGAGGTCTTAAAAGAATAGAGGTTTGCTTCAATATCTCGAACATCATTCAGCAAATCAGAATGAGTATGGTCCAAAATGACTTGTATATAAATAGTACAATCTTGTGTGAATATCATTATGTAAAGAATTATAATACTTGCACCATGTGCACCTCTTTTCACAAAAAAAAATACAACAAAAAAGAAATAACTTTTGAATATCAAAATTTTCCTTTACAAGTAACACAACTGATTTACCATATTTGTTTACTACGTAGAGCCGTTTCAGGTAGCCGTCACTGGACATTTAACTTTAAGTGACTGAGGCTCAATGAAGGATGATCCGATCTTACACAAGTATTAATCGCTCATTAATAAAACAAAATTTACTCTACTCATAATATTTGAAGCCCTGTTTTTAACTTCACAGTATTTGGAAACAATTTCGAAAATTTTTTGGTATTTTGAAACAAAGTAACATTTATTAGTCCCCCGCTACCTAATCGTGGTCTGCAAGAACCACGTTGGAAATTTTTGGATCCTCCGTATAATGTTTAACCTATTTAAAATTGATGTGCACTAGATCACAGGCTTTGTCATACTCAAAATGTATAACTGACACAAGCAGTTATGTAAGATATCTGAGATAAGGCTCATAATTCACAATAAACACAAAAGTGGCCAACTTTTTACAAAGGCAAGTTACTTTCAATTCCAATTTTTTTCCAAAATTTTTCCATATTACTATACTAGGGTCAAAAAGTAACTACTATCCCTTCAATCCTTCAATGAACATTTCCTATAGCAAAGAAAATGTTGGGGAAATATAGCTGTGATTTTGTTCTTTATTGAAAAGTGGGGGGGGGGGCACAGACATACTCTTGCCCCCCCAGATCTGAAAGTGGGGGGGCTAGTGCCCCCGCTGCCCCCCCCTGTGACTACGCCTATGAATTGCTAGGAACAAAACAAATAGTTGTACCCATGACATTCAACTATCTGTAGGTATACGACAAATGTCATTTTATTGTTTTATTATACCTGCAGCTGTGCAGTCCTGCAAGTGTATTATGCACATTGCTGCTGCAAGACATTGCAAGTGACAACCAAATATTGAATACATTTCAAGACAGCTTTGCAATAGAAGGTGCCATGGGTTAAGTTTTATCAAAAAGCAAGAAGTATTTATTAAGATATTGAGATTTTTATTTTATACGAGTTTCAGTTGGCTGAGCACAAAAGCAAACCCTTAAGTTAACGGCAAATTAAGCACAACCAAAAAATTTAACATCAAGCAGTTTTATCTTGGTCATAATTTTTGCATATTATAAAATGACATCCTATGGAAAAAGGGGAACCCGGTTTGGGACATGTATTGCTTATATGCAGTAGTCCTACTCTCAGAATGCTTATTTTCATAAGAAAATAGTGAAGATAAAAAGACAATAATTTTGACCATTCAGAGAAAGAGAGAGAGAGAGATGTGTTTGTGAAACACTGATGCCCCTATTTGGCAACATACATGTAGCTAAAATTTAACTTTCCTTAAATGCAAATTAAATATGTTGTTACCCAAAGTAAGTTTTTCTCACAAGAAATACAATTGTATTGTGAAATATGAAAGCTGTAGCACCACCTGTTTAAAAGTTATGACCAAGGATGAGTTTTTGATAGGTGGGCCAAACTCAAGGATCAAGGTCAAAGGGCCAAAGTTGTTTGTTTCTAAAGAATGGTCTTGTCACAAGGATTACAGATGTGAAGTTTGTTCTCCCATCTTTTTTTGCAAATTCTTCTAGTCATATTTGTATTTTTTCCTTATGTATATTAATATCCTTATAAAGGATATATTCATATATGGTCATATGTAACTTTTGTACATATTTGGTTAATTTGTTTGGCATTGCAATAAATGCTCATTTACAACAAACATTTTGTTTTGATATTTGCAAAAAACAGAGCAGAGTAGACTCATTCGTGGAGAACATAAATGAGGTCAAATTATTTGAGGAAGGTGGAAGACGATGGTATAAGTGAAGTATGAAAATCCTAACCCTAACCGTTTAAAAGTTATGGCCAAAGTTAAAGTTATAAAAAAAAGCTCCAAGGTCAAAGTTGTTGGTATACAGTGAAAGGTCTTGTCATAAGGACTAAATATATGAAATATGAAAACCCTAGCCTTAACCCTTCAAAACTCTCCAGTATTTTAAAAGGAAATCACCTGTTTCTATTTATAGATACATGTATTTTTTCAATGCAAAATCAAAGTACATGTATGTAATCATTTGTGAACCAGTGTTATATTTTCATAGTTGCAAGTTTGTTGCATGACAGTAAATTTACTTGTCCAATACTCTTATTCTAAACAAGATTGTTTGAAAATTTTAAACATAAAACAGGCTAGTAACTATGACTTTGGGTCATTAAAATAGTTCAAGACGGTTTATCCCCAAGATACTTTCAATGTGTAATGTTGTATTATATATCTCATTTAAAAATTATTTATTCATGTAAGTATTAAAAAATAATAAAAGAAAACATGATTATCTGGTTAAGGGTGGTCTTTTCCTACAGTTTGTCATTGTTTAGGGGGTACTTCAGTATTTACTATATTCTCAATACGCGGGCGCGCGCGCGCGCGCGCGCGCGCGCGCGCGCGCGCGCGCGCGCGCGCGCGCGCGCGCGCGCGCGCGCGCGCGCGCGCGCGCGCGCGCGCGCGCGCGCGCGCGCGCGCGCGCGCGCGCGCGCGCGCGCGCGCGCGCGCGGCGCGGCGCGGCGCGGCGGCCGCGGCGGCGGCGGCGCGGCGGCGGCGGCGCGCGCGCGCGCGCGCGCGCGCGCGCGCGCGCGCGCGCGCGCGCGCGCGCGCGCGCGCGCGCGCGCGCGCGCGCGCGCGCGCGCGCGGCCGCGGCGCGCGCGCGCGCGCGCGCGCGCGCGCGCGCGCGCGCGCGCGCGCGCGCGCGCGCGCGCGCGCGCGCGCGCGCGCGCGCGCGCGCGCGCGCGCGCGCGCGCGCGCGCGGCGCGCGCGCGCGCGCGCGCGCGCGCGCGCGCGCGCGCGCGCGCGCGCGTGCGCGCGCACGCGCTCAGCGCGCGGTGACGGCGGCGGCGGCGGCGGCGCGGCGCGGCGCGGCGCGGCGCGCGCGCGCGCGCGCGCGCGCGCGCGCGCGCGCGGCGCGCGGCGGCGCGGCGGCGCGCGCGGCGGCGCGGCGCGGCGGCGGCGGCGGCGGCGCGCGCGCGCGCGCGCGCGCGCGCGCGCGCGCGCGCGCGCGCGCGCGCGCGCGGCGGCGGCGGCGGCGCGCGCGCGCGCGCGCGCGCGCGCGCGCGCGCGCGCGCGCGCAAACTGAACGATTTTTTAAACTATCATAAGAGGGAAGTATTTTTGATTCTGAGACGGGGGAGGGCAAGCAAACATTTTATTAAAATTGCCCTTAGGAAAAAGAAATGGATATTTTCATTTGTCGCAGTTTCGCCAAAAATATAGTCCCTGTTTGATTTCAATCTCAGTTTATCATTGAGATAGAACAATTATGAGGAGGAAAAAAATTCTGTTCTTTATAAACAAATATACTTTGAATGTTTGATTTAGTGAAAAACCAGAGAACCCCCTTGAGGATTATTTTCAACTGAAGATATCAGTACATGTAATTTATTCTTTACATATATTATATAAGACATTCTTGACATTAATTTATCAAAGAGGAGAGAGAGTAAGAGAGGGAGATAGAGAGTAAGAGAGAAAGTTCAATCAATTTTGCAAATCATGCCCCATGCAACGAATTTTTAAGCGGAACATATTAATAGAAGGAAAAGTTAGTAAATTCAAACAATTTAAATCCATTTACCCCCTAATTTTAAGCTTCTTATTTGACTAAACATGTGCAATATACACGTATATGCAACAGACTTTTCAATTTTTCGCACTTGATATATAATTATTAAAACTACTGAACTTTAAGGGAATATTACCTATCTTAATTTCTTCCAAATGAAACACATTCATTTTCTTAAAACATATATATTGCTTTAGTATTAAATAATTTCGAAAATGATCGTTATTAGGTGACGGTTTACGAAATAATTTTGTTCATCAAAGTCTAACCTACAAAAGGATTTGCACTTTCTTTAAAGCTGGAAACTATCATTCATTATTTTCAAAGTCAATGCTTATAACTCAGTTTAATGTCTACAAACTACTTTTCATTAGCAATTTTGTAAAAAGTTAGTATATTTAAAAATGTGCAAGAAATTTACTTTCCACCATCTGCAAAGGACCATTAATTTTTTCGGGGATGGAACCAAAATGCTTGTATACAAGAGGCACATATACATGTTATCATCAAAAATACTTAATTACTGTCTTTATTAAAAATCATAAATTCGCAAATTCTGTCTGTTAGAACACTTTCGTTTCCGTGCAATATCTGGATAACCCTTCGAGCTTTTGCAATGAAATTTTACATAACAACTCCCTGTGGCTTAAGAAAGAATCCTTTGAGGTCAAAAGGTAAAAGTTCAAGGTCGTAAATTTATACATTATGTCTGTGTGTAACACTATCATTTCAAGAGGATTTTGAGCTTTTGCAATGTAATTTTATTTACCAAAACTCCGTAGGACCTCTCTCACCCCTCTCAAAGTGTCCCGCCCCGTTTGTTTTATTAGCTCTTCTGAGCCAAAGGCTCAAAGAGCTAATGCTATGGCCATTTGTGCGGTGTGCGTGGTGCGGTGTGCGTTAACTTTTTAGAATATGGGCCATAACTCAAGAACACCTTGGCCAATCAGTGTCAAATTTGTCAGAGGGTATCCTTGGCCCAAGGGCTACCATTTATACTAAAAAAAGGGTTGGGACCCTAAAACAAGGGGAGATAATCAGGAAAACAAAACCAAAAGCACTGGTTGCAAAAAAAATCTTCTTCTCCAGAATCAACAAGCAGATTTTCACCAAACTTTCAAACATCAGGATATTTTGAAGATTAAAAATTGTTCAAGGCATGACCCTGGGGCAAAGGGCGTGGTCTCACTTCAAAGTTGACCTCAATTTACAATTAATGAAAATGTCTATATTTTGCTTACTATAAGGACTAGGATCATCAAATCTTGTAAGTAGATGCATCTTAGGACTTCACATCATGTTAATTCAAAAGTAGGTCACGGTGACCTACTTTTTTAATTTTGCGGGCATTTGTTTCCTAATTGATTTGAAGGCATATTTAGGACACTTTAAGGCCTATGATCATCAAACTTTGTCAGTTGATGCATCTTGGGTCCTTGAACAACGTCAACTTAAAAGTAGGTCACCATGACCTACTTTTTGAACTATATGACTTATCCTTTTTAAAACATTTCATCCCATTGTTTCAGACACTGAGAGGGTTAGAATCATCAAATCTTGTAAGTTGCTGCATATTGGGACCTTAAAACATATTTAAGTAAAAGTAGGTCACTGTGACCTACTTTCAGAATTTTGCAGGCATTTGTTTTAAAATTGTTTAAAAGGCATATTTTGATTACCTTCAGACCAATGATCATCAAACTTGGTCAGCTGATGCATCTTGGGACTCTAAAAAATGTCGACCAAAATGTAGGTCACTGTGACCTACTTTTGACATTTTATGGCTATATTTCAGTATCTTAGGTATTTATTGGCTTAGATTCATCAAACTTTGTGAGTTGATGCATCTTGGGTTTTCGGATAGTGACGACCAAAAATTAGGTCACGGTGACCTACTTTCAATATTTATGGCTATATTTATGTATCTCCAGTACTTATGGGCTTAGAATCATCAAACTTTGTCAGTTGATGCACCTTGGGTTTTTGGAGAATGTCGACCAAAAAGTAGGTCACTGTGACCTACTTTTGACATTTAATGGCTATATTTATGTATTTCTGGTACTTATCGGTTTAGAATCATCAAACTTTGTTAGTTTATGCCTCTTGGGTTTTCAGAGAATGTCGACCAAAAAGTAGGTCAAAGTGACCTACTTTTGAATTTCTCAGGTATTTATTGGCTTAGAATTATCAAAATTGGTCAGCAGATGCATCTAAGGCCTCTGATAATTGTCAACCAAAAAGTGAGTCAAGATGACTTACTTTTGACATTTAATGGCTATATTTAAGTATCTCCAGTACTTATCTGCTTAGAATCATCAAACTTTGTCAGTTGATGCATCTTGGGTTATAGAAGAATGTCGACCAAAAAGTAGGTCACGATGACCTACTTTTGACATTTTATGGCTATATTTAAGTATTTCCGGTACTTATTGACTTACAATCATCAAAACTTTGTTAGTTTATGCTTCTTGGGTTTTCAGAGAATGTCAAACAAAAAGTTGGTCTCAGTGATCTCCTTTTGAATATCTCAGATACTTATTGGCTTAGAATCATCAAACTTTGATAGTTGATGCCTCTTGGGTTTTCCAAGAATGTAGACCAAAAAGTAGGTCAAGGTGACCTACTTTTGAATATCTCAAATACATATTGGCTTAGAATCTTCAATCTTAGTTTTTCTATTAATGCATCTTGAGTCCTCAGAAAACTTCAATCTTAAAGTAAGTCATCTTGACCTACTAATGTTTTTTAATAGCTTTATTAAAATATCTTAAGTCCTAATTGGCTAAGAATCATTAAACTTTTTTATCAGTTGATGCAACTTAGGTTTTAGGATACTTAGGGTTAGAGGCTTCAAATACAAGTGATAAGTTGTACAATTTATCAGAAGAGCGATGCAAGGCCCTTGGGCCTCTTGTTAGTATTTATTGTACATGTCGCTATTTTTAGCACAAGGGCATGAGTACTATTCATTTAGTACGTACAAGTATCGTTTTATGGTTCATTTACAAAATATATACTAGTAATCCAATGAAAACTTTTTATTAGAATGTCAAGATTTGTCTTCATTTCGTGCATTTTAAAATGTGTCAATTCCTGTAACTAAATTTGGAGTGACATTTCTTAAACAATATACAAAAGCTCTTTAATGTTCTTGTTGTGTAAGTAAGTGTGCACACACGTTATATACTATACATATGTAAAATCAAAAATGTTAGTGGCTTCACCTCGCCAAAGTTTTACTTCTGTTACATCTATTAATATAACATAAACAGGTTATAACATAAATTGATTTAATCATATACAAGTATGAGATATCATACATTCGGATTTTTTTAAATTACCGAATGAAAAGGTGGTAGAGTTTTTATGCGCCCGAATTTTTTCGGGGCGCATATTGTTTTTTGTCCTGTCTGTTTGTCTGTTGTCAACTTTAACCTTCGCCATAACTTTTGAACCGTAAGAGATAGAGACTTCATATTTGGTATGCATACTCCACTAATAAAGTTCTTTCAAATGACATCAAGGTTACTGACCTTGTTACCTTGACTGTGACCTATATGCTATAAAATAGCTTTTTCAACTGTTTGTCATACCTTTTTAACCATTGAGATAGGGACTTCATATTTAATATGCATCCTCTACTAATAAAATTCTTTCAAATGACATCAAGGTCAATGACCTTGTGACCTTGACTTTGACCTATATGCTAAAAATAGCTTTTTTCACTTTTTGCCATAACTTTTGAACCATAGGAGATAGGGACTTCATATTTAGTATGCATACTCCACTAATTAAGTTCTTTCAAACATTACCAAGGTCAATGACCATGTGACCTTGTGACCTATATGCTAAAAATAGCTTTTTCCACTTTTTGCCATAACTTTTGAACCATAGGAGATAGGGACTTCATATTTGGTATGCATACTCCACTAATAAAGTTCTTTCAAACAACACCAAGGTCAATGACCATGTGACCTTGTGACCTATATGCTAAAAATAGCTTTTTCCACTTTTTGCCATAACTTTTGAACCATAGGAGATAGGGACTTCATATTTAGTATGCATACCCCATATATACTAAAAATAGCTTTTTCGAACTTTGTTGACGCCGGGCGCATAGTGTTTCACAAACACATCTTGTTTTTTTCTCGGAATCTTATACAAAAATTATTGTTTTCGTGGTTTCATGCCAAGAAATCACGTCAAATTTTCCAAAGTAATGGAGTCAATAAAAGTATCATTGATGCAAATCACCCATATTCCTCAAACGCTGGCAAGTTAATTTACGGCAGCAAAAAGATAATTAAAACTTGATTCATTCCACCTTTTATTTCAATAATTGATATTTTTACTTTAAAATGAAAATATTTACATAGCCAATGTTAAGATATAGATATACGAAAAGAATTTGAAAGGCAGCTTATTATAATTAAATAAACTTTCTTTTCCCTTTATTTTACACTTTTACAACATTTGATTTAGATGCCCCCTACCCCCACCCCCCACCCACCCCCCAAAAAATAGGTGTGTATGCAAGGGTTCTAAATAATAAGTATTCTACCTAGTTTAAACAGGCACGTAGCATCGTTTTTTAAAGTGGGAAAGAGGGTAGGGCAAGCCATAGAAAAAAATTTTTTTACTAGTGGCTAGTGGCCAACTTTTTGCAAGGCCAACTTCCTTTCACTTCTTTTTTTTTTTGCGTACAATATTACATTTCCTTGATATCACTTTACTGTGGTTAGAAGTGGGGGGATGGGGCAACCAACCTTTCAATGGACATTTTATATAGTAAAGGCAATGTTGGGAAAAATGGGGGGGGGGGCTCCCGTTGCTACGTGCCTGTTAAAACCCAGAATAAAAACGTAAGTTCCCTCCCTCAAAACTCCTGACATCAATTGCCTCGCGCGCACATCTCACTGGGGAAGAATCACCGATTAACGTTAATTCGGCTTTTATTGAGTTTGCTCTCCGGATAGAATGTGCAAGTTTTCTTGGCATGACTATTGTACTGGTAAAACGATGCATAACTTTTAATGACAATGGTATAGACCATTATATAATGATATAGTTATATCATGGCATTTCAAAGAATATTTTAAAATGAAACAGAACTTTTGTAACTGAAAACTGAAAACATAGATTACAAAATAAATTCTGTTAACATTATACAGTCTGAACTTCATTGTTGGAAATAACATTTCATTTGGTAATTTTTTGGAAATGCTACATGGGCGTAGCAACGGGGGGGGGGGGGGGGGCACTATTTTCAAAACTTACTTTTACTATAGGAAATGATATTTGAAAACCTGGTTGCCCCCCCCCCCCCACTTGTAGACTTTTAGTTATGTAAATAGGAAATGTAGTGTTATAGAATTGGTACTGAAAGTAGTCGACAATTGGAAAAAACTTTACCGTTACCCCCCCCCCCCCCCCCTACACGAAATAGGATTTTCGACATTGGGCAAACTTTTCCTTTTTTTAATTTTATTTATTTATTTATTTTTTTTTGCTTGTCAACTTTTTTTAGGTAAGTAAAAAAAAATTCTATGGCTGCCCCCCCCCCCCCACTTTCGAAAACGATGCTACGCCACTTTGCTACATGTATACCCCATTTCCACAGAAAAAATGTTCTACAATAAAACGTAGTATTAATGAGAAAAGAAAGATATGTTATTGCAAATAAATTCACCATGATTTAAAAGAAATTGAGCTGCCATGGCAATGTCGATTATACATGGTCTTTTAAAGATAGATTACCGAACGAAAAAAATATGTAAAATATATATAATCATTGATTTCTTTCCGCTTTGTGAATTTAAGCAAATCACGTCAGACGAGCTTTTTAGGAGAGCTAATACTTGTTTCGGCATTTAGTTTGGTATGCAGTATCGAAAATAAACTCCAATTTGAGATATTGAAATTTCCAGTTTTCATTATGGCGCCAGTTCTGCATCTTCGCTAGCCAAGTATTTCTGATACGCTACCCTCGTATCAGAAACCCTGGGCTAGCGAAGATGCCGGTTCTGACGAATTCCTGGCGCGCAAAATATCAAAATGGTAAAAAAAAAACTCTGGAAAACGTCAGATATATTAAACTAAAAAAAAAATCACGTGAACTTAAAAAGTGCGCGTTACATTGCATGCATGTTACATTGTTGAGACACGTCTCACATCTTAAAAAGGGATATGTTATATACATATTTTTAATTACAAATTCAATAGAGCATTTAACATGGGAATTGCACTTTAGATACGTGTTCAAACAAGAACTCCAAATTTCATGTAATATTGATGACGTTTATCTTGCTATAAAATCGTGTACATCAAGCCTTCCTGGGAGTCAGTTTAGACATTTCACAAAATGATGATGCGACTTGTCATTTCGATCTTCTTTTTGTATTGCTTAAAGGAATCCCACAGCGCTAATATAGGTATGGAGTTTTTTAAAGCCATATATGGCGTATGTACATTGAAAATTTTTGGACTAAAATTATAGGAACTTATTATTTGTATCATTACTTTATTCAAAGATAGAACTTTTCCGTAAATTACAAAATCCATTTCAATTGCGTTATAAAGATATCACAAAAATTTAATTTGGATTCTTTGAATTTTCTCCGACTCGGAAGAAAATACAAAAGATTTAAATAACACATTATAGAGAAGATAAAATCGTATTATTAGATGAAACGAAGTGTTCTCCATGTTCACAATTGTATGAAAAGTTTTAATTTAAATGTATCAACTATATTTTTTTCTTAATTTTGTATTTTTTAAAAATTATTTTTTTGATCAGTTACGCCATATATGGCTTTAAGAAAGGGACATATTTTTATTAAGGAATCATTTAAGTGAGAACTACTTTAAATTGCTTTTTATTCGCTAAAACTTAATTTTCGCGCATGTACGCGAGTCTCTCTGCGTAGAATGGCATCTTTTTGTATTAGTAAGAATTATACACAACAAAAACCCAAACTTGAGCAAATTTTGTCTCGTTTATGAAATCAAGATAGTTGACTCGCGAAAAATATATCACTTGTTAATTTATATAAAGAATTTAGCATATTTAGTGCGATTCTTATCTCAGGGTTCCAGTTTATCCCAAAATTCATCTATGAGTAATTCGGCAAATTTGATGTGTAAGTTAAAATGAAACTCTCTTTTTCTGAGCTGTACTTCGGAAACGATGACGTAAACTCGTCTCCTGAAAAAAATACAATGTAGATAGATTGGGGAGGATTTTTCTCATACTTCTTCTATGTAGATAATACAAAATTTATTTTTAAAAAATGTATGATCTAATTAGACATTATCACTTAGTGATTGTTATAATTTACGGAAGTGTATTAATGCACTTGGACACTTTATTTTTAGCTCACCTGAGCCGAAGGCTCAAGTGAGCTTTTCTGATCAAAATTTGTCTGTTGTCTGTCGTCATATAGGAAAAATCTATAAAAATCTTCTTCTTCAGAACCACTGGACCAGGAAAGATGAAACTCATGTGGATCATCCTCAGGTAATGTAGATTCATGTTTGTTCAAATCATTCCCCCCGGGGCAAGGGTGGGGCCAAAATGGCCGACCCAGGTTTTACATAGGAATATATAAGAAAAATCTTTAAATATTTTCTTCTCCGGAACCACTGGGCCAGGTAAGATGAAACTCTTGTGGAATCATTCTCAGGTAATGTAGATTTAAGTTTGTTCAAATCATGCCCCCTGGGGCAAGGGTGGGGCCAAAATGGCCGACCCAAGTTTTACATACGAATATATAGGAAAAATCTTTAGAAATCTTCTTCTCCAGAACCACTGGGCCAGGAAAGATGAAACTCATGTGGAATCATTCTCAGGTAATGTAGATTCAAATTTGTTCAAATCATGCACCCGGGGCAAGGGTGGGGCCAAAATGGCCGACCCAAGTTTTACATAGGAATATATAGGAAAAATCTTTAGAAATCTTCTTCTCCGGAACCACTGGGCCAGGAAAGATGAAACTCATGTGGAATCATCCTCAGGTAATGTAGATTCAAATTTGTTCAAATCATGCCCCCCGGGGCAAGGGTGGGGCCAAAATGGCCGACCCAAGTTTTACATAGGAATATATAAGAAAAATCTTTAGAAATCTTCTTCTCCGGAACCACTGGGCCAGGAAAGATGAAACTCATGTGGAATCATTCTCAGGTAATGTAGATTCAAGTTTGTTCAAATCATGCCCCCCGGGGCAAGGATGGGGCCAAAATGGCCGACCCAAGTTTTACATAGGAATATATAAGAAAAATCTTAAAAAATCTTTTTCTCCAGAACCACTGGGCCAGGAAAGATGAAACTAATGTGGAATCATCTTCAGGTAGTGTAAATTCAAGTTTGTTCAAATCATGCCCCCCGGGGCAAGGATTTAATTTAAACAATATTTTATTCACAGATGTTGCCTACATTTAGGTCAAGGTACAGAACAAATAGTGATATTAAAAGAATGTACAAAAGAAGAAAAAAAAACACAAACAAAATTGAACAAAGTAACAGAGAAAGAAAAAAACAGAAAAAATCATATGTAGAAAATTAAACGAAAGAGAAAAATAGAATGAACAAAATAACAAAAAGGGAAAATTACAGGGGGAGACAAAATACAAAATAGTACCGGTTTGGGAGTACTTCTAACAAATAAAAATTATATCTATATATAGATATGACAGTGTTTATATAAAACGTTTTGTTGCTGCTATAAATGTATGTACAGCTTCAAATATTTGTATATTAATGTCAAGTCCATGGTTAGAACTACCATTTAAAAATAAATCACATTCGGGAATATTATCACAGCTTATAATATTATGTGTTGATTGAAAGAGTACATCTCTTGGAATTGTATATTTAGGACAAACAATAAAGTAATGATAGGCATTTTCAATACAATCAGTACAATGTTCACACATTGGAGTTTCAGCTAAATGTTGATTATATAAATCTGCTTTCAGATTACTAGCATTATTCCTTATCTGGCAATGTATTATATTATACTTTCTTTTTCCAAAATTAAAAAGTTCAATACTTTTCCTACAGAAATGAGATTTTAAAAGACTTTTGAATGAACATATTCCTGGAGCATTTTTAATATAATTTGGCAAGGTATTCCATTGTTTGACTGTAGAGGGGAGAAAACTTTCCATATAGGATGTTGTTCTAATATTAGGAATTTTAAATTGAGCATTATTAGTTCTAAGATTATACGAATGACTAGATGGGCGATAAGGTTCAATCAGATCATACAGATACTGTGGAGAATAACCATTAATAATTTTATAAAATAATATTAACTTATGAATTTTTCTCCTTGTTTTTAGGAGATCCCATCCAAGTTCATCATACAATTTTGTACGAGAAGAGTTACACCTTAATCCAGTAATAATTCTACCTGCTTCAACTTGTATATCTTCTAAGAGTTTAGAATCTTTTTCAGAACAATTGTCCCACACTACATCAGAATACTCAAGCACAGGTCGAACAAAAGCAAAATATATTTTAGTGAGTGTTTTACGTGATATCTGGTATTTGAGCATTCTAAGAATGTTTAATCTTTTTGAAGCATTTTCGTGTATTATCTGTATGTGTGATGTCCACATAGCATCTCTTTGGAAATGTAAACCTAAATGGGTATGAGAATCATTTTGAATAATAGGTGGGCCATATTCACCAAATTTAACAGGAGAATATACAATATTTTTTCTACTAAAATTTAAATTTACAGTTTTGTTAGGATTAAAATCAACAAGCCATTTCTTTGACCATTTATCAATATGTTCTAAATCATCAGTAAGTGATTGTGTAACATTTTCTTTATCTACAATAGCATATAAAGAAGTGTCATCAGCAAAAAGTCTTATATGGTTCACTAGATCATCACAAACATCATTAATATATAAAAGGAATAGGAATGGTCCTAGGACAGAACCCTGAGGAACTCCAGCATTTACTGTTTCAGAGTTTGATGTAAAACCATCTATTACAACTTTTTGTTGTCTATCAGACAAATAATTCTCAATCCAACCTAGTACATTGCCATTTATACCATAATTTGTTAGCTTTGTTAAAAGGCCTTTATGCCATACTCTATCAAATGCCTTAGAGATATCACAAAAAATAAATCTTACATCTTTACCTTTATCAAGATTCGAAATGATAGTATTATATATTTCTACCAGTTGATTAACAGTTGAATCTCCAGGTTGAAAGCCAGACTGATATTTGTATAATATGTTATTGTCCTTCATAAAGTTATATAAATGTTTAAACAGTATTTTTTCCATCAATTTACACAAGACACTTGTTAGAGATATTGGTCTATAATTAGATACCTCTTGAGCACTCCCTTTATTTTTAAAAACTGGTGTTATTTGCGATAACTTCCAGATATCTGGTAATTTCTTTTCCCTTAATGACATATTAAAGAGAGTTGTTAGGGGCTTTTTGATAGATGTGGATATTTCTTTTAGTATTCTTGGGGATATACCATCAGGACCAGGTGGTTTACTGTTATCAATGATAGTTAACTGGTCATAAATTTCAGCTTCGGTGATAAGCATTTCAGAGAAAATGTTATTTTGTTGTGGTGGACCAGGTCCATGAAGAGGAATATCTGGTTCATTATCAATGGAGGAAACTTGGGCAAAGTATTTATTTAGTACTGTAGCTTTTTCAACTGGATGGAAAATAAGTTTACCATTTGATTTTAATGGTGGTAAGGGTACATAATTTTTTTTAAGTTTTGATATTGATTTAACAATTCTCCACCATTTCCCAGGAGGAATTGATTTATCAATCATTGAAGACATTTTTTTATTATATCTTTCCCGGGATTTTCGAATTTCATCAATGACTGTATTTCTAAGTTCTCTGTATGATTGCCAATGCAGAGGATTGTCTGTATGTTTTGCTTTATAGTGAGTTCTATTTCGTTTTCTCATGAGTTTGCGTATTGTATTATTCATAAAGGACAAGGATGGGGCCAAAATGGCCGACCCAAGTTTTACATAGGAATATATAAGAAAAATCTTAAAAAATCTTTTTCTCCAGAACCACTGGGCCAGGAAAGATGAAACTCATGTGGAATCATCTTCAGGTAGTGTAAATTCAAGTTTGTTCAAATCATGCCCCCCGGGGCAAGGATGGGGCCAAAATGGCCGACCCAAGTTTTACATAGGAATATATAAGAAAAATCTTTTAAAATCTTCTTTTCAAGAACTTCAAAGCTTTGATTAGTGATATTTATATGGAATCATCCTCAGGTAGTGTAGATTCTAGTTTGTTCAAATAATGAACGCCTGGGGGGGGGGGGGGGAGTAAATTCAAGCCTGATGTGCTCAGCTGAGCGCTGTGGCCCCTGGGCCTCTTGTTTTATAATTATTTCTACACTTTAATCTGTAAAATTTACACTTTTATCTGTAAATTTTACACTTTAACATATTTTTGCACTTTAATCTTTTTTTTTCAACTTCTGCAAAGGTAGACATAGGCATTGAACACTGTGACATATGTTAAGCCCCCTCCCCTCCCCCACTCTCCACGGCCACGTTGCAGTATAGGTCAAAAGGGGGAAAGTGGTAGTGTTTGGATAAAAAATTAGGTACTGAAACATGTTTGAATACCTGTTACAACTGTTTTTATTAAATTGAAAGACTGATGGCCAATTCTCTTTACAATATTTTTCAGATGAACCGTGCAGTAAAAACGCAGACTGTGAAAAGGAAAACTCAGCTTGTTATTCAGAAAAATGTAAATGTGTATTTCCAAATTTCTATGACAGTAATGATGGAAATTGCGCTGGTGAGTTATTTCATGTCATTTTTATCAAAATAGTCCGATTTTAGTTAGACCTTAATTTTACCTTTATATTTTCTATAATAACTAATTCTAACATTATTATTTACATTATCATTATGTCATATCGGACGAAGTTCTTAGGGGATACATATTGCCATTGTTCGAACAATAACAGATGGTTCTGTCAATCTTGATAAAACTCCTCTGTCATAATGATCACTAACTTAAGATGTGTTATCTTTCTTCCAAGTACATGTAGCTATATATTTATGCCATGAGAAGGATAAAAAGTGGTATAGTTTTTTTTTAATTTAATCTTTCACGGCTGCTTTTAATAAGATCTTTTTAAAACTTAAGTAGCCCTTGCCTCTTGTCAAAACAAATTACGCAAAAAGTTGGGAAAGAATGGACCAAAAACATTTTCATTTTTAATTTCCATGCCCCCGTAAACGAAGTTTCGGGGGAATATAGTTTTTGTCGTATCCGCCCGTTTGTCCGTCACGGGAATTACTGAGGGTTTTTTTTGTTTGTTTGTGTTGGAGAGGACATTCTTAGTTGGAATAACTTGTGTCCAATCCCATAGATTATGTTTCAATAAAATATGTTTAAATCAATTACTGGATCAGAAAAGCTGAAAGTTATGTTTTTTGGGTCGTATAGATTCTTAATTGTTTTAAAAGTTTTACATTGAAATACTAGTATACAGATGAACACCTTAAAATCTTCTTCTCAAGAACCACTGATCCAGGAAAGCTTAAACTTATGTGGAAGCATCCGGGGTAGAATAGATTCTAAATTGTTTAAATTAGTATCCCCAAGATAAGAGTTAGACCAAACAGGAACTCAAAGTTTTGCATAGAAATAAAAGAAAAAAATGATTTTAAATCTCCCTCTCAAGAACAACTGGCGAGTGAGCTTTTCTGATCACATTTTGTCCGTCGTCTGTCTATTCGTCTGTAAACTTTTCACATTTTCGACTTATTCTCAAGAACCACTGGGCCCATTTTAACCAAACTTAGTACAAATCCTTCTTTGGTAAAGGGGGTTTAAATTGTTGAAATGAAGGGCAAAATCTCCTCACAAAGGGAAATAATCGAGAAAAGGAGAAAAATAGGGTGGGGCCATTAAAAAAATCATTCATATCAAGAACCACTGGACTGGAAAAGCTGAAACTTATGTGGAAGCATCCTGGGGTAGTGTAGATTCTAAAATATTCAAATCATGAACCGCGAGGGTTAGACGGGACTACAATAGGGATTTAAGTTTCACATACAAATATATAGAAAAAATACTTTTAAAATCTTCTGAAGAAGAACCACTGGACCAGAAAAGCTGAAACTTATGTGAAAGTACTAGTATCCTGGGGTAGTGTAGATTCTAAATTGTTCAAATTATGCATGACCTCCAGCCGTAGGACGGGGCCACATTAGGGAATCAAAATTTTACATTCAAATATATACGAAAAAACTCGGGAACTACTGGGCAAGAAAAGCTGAAAGTTATCTGACAGCTTTTTAGGGAAGTGTAGATTTTATATTGTCTAAAATATTACCCTTGGGGTAGGGTGGGGTCCCAAAGGGTAGGGTGGGGTCCCAAAAGGTATAACAAAGGGGGAATCTGATAAAGAACAACATGGTCGAAGCTATTCAGGTGAGTGATGTGGCCCATGGGCCTCTTATTATTATTATTATTATTAGCTCACCTGAGGCAAAGGCTCACGTGAGATCTAAATGTAATCCGTCTGCTTGTCTGTTTGTAGTGTGTTGTGTATTTCAAATTCCTCTCCAGAACCACCACAAGGTTAATTTTTACCAAACTTACTGGCACTGCAAAGCGTCTGTGCATAAAGGAAATTCAAATTTATTCAAAAGAGGTCTATAGATATCCTCCCAAGGAAAGCAAAACAAAGTTAAGTCATACTATATGCAGGGGAATTTTCGCCCAAATCGCCATACCCTCGTTTGGGTGAATTTAAAATGGGGCGAATTCAAATAATACAGTATAATTTCTTAAACAAATACTATGATGGGCGAATTCAAAACGATGCTAAATTGTTTACATATGTGAAAGGGCTAAAATAACATGGGGCGAAAATAACCCTGTATACATTATTTTTGGAAGCATTCTCAGGAAGAGACCAACTTGGTTTAAATCATGGCTCCTCGGACTAGGATGGGGTCATAGTTTTCACTATATAATGGCATTAGTAATTACTATAATGTCATAGTTAACTTATCACTGAAGTTATTGTTGGTAAATCAGTAAAAAAGTTATCACTACGGTAAATCAAATTTTTGGAAGTGATAATTATCAATCCAAGGTTGATTTATGTTTTAAATAATTAATATTTTGTTATTTAAGTCTTATTTAATTTCACAACATAGGTTTTAAGAATTTTTTTTTCATTTAACGAAAGTTATTTGTTGTCTTCTCCTTCAAATGTCGGCTTCAGAGGTCATTGGGTCAAGTGATAGAATAGTTTTAGATTAAGTACACTCCCGAGCTTTTCTTCTGAAGCCTGTGGCTTTATCTTACATTTCAATACTAACCTGAAGTTGATGTATTCTGTCTAAATTTAAAGGCTTCGATGTCCTGAGGTAATTTTTGAGGAATAATTTAATGAGTGGTTTACAAAAAGGAGGCATGGGGCGATAAGTTTTAGTTCTAAGCGATCTAGGAGGTAAATTGGTGATAAAATACTGACTTGGATGGATGAATTTGGATAGCTGAACTTGAATTAGGTGGTACTCTGTGGTTAAGGCCACTGTGTGGGACAAAAATTGTTTCATTTATACTTTTATAGTATTTTTATTATAAGTGCTTAGACTAAATTTTCGGAAATCCATTTAAGTGACTCTTATTTACTTCATGCTAGGAACAGCAACCTTCTGTTCAAACAATCGCGAGTGCGCCTATGGAACGTGTGACAACGGCGTGTGTCTATGTGACGATGGTTACTCACGAGAATCAAACTGCCGACTCCGCGTCGAGAGACCGTGCAGTGGTGGTAGGTTGGAATTATTTTTTAAATATTTCATGATATGCAGGATCATATTGTGATTGGCTTTTTTCTTAAATGAATTTCATTCTTAAATGAATTTCAAATTAAGATAAATGAAATGGCGTGTGAAGTGTTGTAAATTTGCATTCAATTCTTTTTTCAGGGATGTCAATAAAAACTGGAGTGACTTCCCTTGTCTTCCTCCTCGGGTCCCTGTGGATGCTCCTAAAATGAACGAACTCTTTATTCTGTGAACTTTCTATATATATTAGAATGATATTTCTTCAAATTTTTTTATTTTATATCTTATGCATTTGAAGTCGCTGGCTTCAATCAAACTTTATCAGGAAAAAAGATACTGATTTTCTGTTCATATCTTTATGTGAATTGAATATATATGTATTAAGATGACAGCTAAAGATTTTTTCCACGATTCCTCAATAATTTTCATAAAATGATATTTACTATGAAATTTATATACTAGTCGATTGACAAGAGGAATGGCGAAAGGAAAATCCAGAACATTATGGAAAATCTATTTAATTAATTTACAACCAAAACTATTTTACAATTTCATTCTTCTTTTAGTTTTGTTTGTTTGCTTGCTTCAGTTTTAATTTAGATTAGTATGTGCCCATAAGCACGACAATACTTCTCAGCGAGTAAAAGACTATTATTGAATACTATGTGCTTTTTAGAGTATAAAAAACTGTATTTCATCGAATTTCTTCTTAATAGACTTATTACTTAATAAATCCTTCATTTTTATTTTTGTTGTTGTTGTTTTTGTTGTTGATTACTCGATAGGACTAGAACTTGGTGTGTGATCTGCAAGAATCATGATTACGAAACATTTATGGTGATTAATGTCCAAGTTTTGGTTGGATAACGAGTGGACAGATTTTACAAAGCAACGCACATGGGGAAATGCTCAGTTTACACTGAAATATATATACGTATATAGCTTGCAAAAGTTTAATAGTTAAGTCCACTTTTATTAACAGTTGCGATAATACGCTTAAAAATATCAATAAAAACACCTGATATGGTAATAGTTAGTCCGAAATATTAGTTGCAGAACTGCACCTTTCCGAAAAAAATATTTTGACAGACGGTCAGTCAAAATATTTTTTCGGAGAGCTACAGTTCTGCAGCTACCGAAATATCGAATGTTTTCCAGCTTCTTTTTTTTCGATTTTGATAATTTACGTGCAAGGAAATCGTTAGAATCGGCGCTATTTGAAAACTGGAAATTTTGCCGTCTCAACCTGGATTTTATTTTCCGATACTTGCAATCCAAACCAAATGCCGAAATCAAAATTTATTGATAGCACAATACTTCTTGTACTGAACAATATCGATAAAAAGAAAATATCACTCCACATTTCCAAACAGGACTTGCAAGATTTTAAAATGCACGAAATGAAGACAAATCTCGACAGTCTAATATAAAATGTTTTCATAGAATTATATGTTTTGTAAATGAGCAATAAAAACACTAATTGTAAGTACTAAATGAATTTACTTTTGATAGCTTGAGAGTTTGACATTCAATTCGGTTCGCAAGTATCTAAATCCAATCCGAGAACGCCGCTCCGGTTGTACGAGGCGAATTCCCTGTTTTCGTAATGGCGCCAGTTCTTGGCACGTAAAATATCAAAATCGTAAAAAAAAAAGCTTGGAAAACATCAGATATTAGGTAGTTGCAGAACTGTAGGTCTGCAACAAAAATATTTTGTGCTTTTCATTGAAAAAAGTGTATATTTATTGCGCACAAAAAGTGCGCTGTTTTTCGATTGATTTCTCTGTGTTTTTCATAATGTCATCTCAAAATTTTTTTTATTTTTTATTATTTTTTTTTTTTTATTTTTTATTTTTTTTTATCTTTTATTACACAGTTCCCATCAATACCCATTTACAATTGCCAGTTTACCCGTGTATTTAGGATAACCAGCATAAAAAACAACAAAGGAAAAGAAATCTTCAAAATATGTCATTATAACAAATTTGATAAAAGTTTAACTGGGTCTTTAAACATACAAGTTTTTGACAAATTTAACATGAAATCTATATCTTTTTCTAACGAACATCTAATGCTTTTCTCTAACATGAACTTCTCTTGTATAATATTTTGTATTCTGCTTTTCATTTTAAATTTATATATTTTATATGCCAAATATGATATTATAGTATTATAAAAGCGAATTCTTGAATTTGTTTCCAAGTAGAATCCTACAACAATATGTTTCCATTGCACATCATAGTTCATAACAATATTCAACTTTTGCCATACACCTTTTACATTATCACAATCAAAAATTAGATGTTTTATTTCTTCATTTTCATTTCCACAAAATTCACATTTTGCATTTTCTCTTAGTTTACATTTTTGTAAAAAAAGAGTTACAACATAGAATATTATTCAACAATTTATAATTTTAAAAATTCACTAAGACGTTTATACGACGGCGTATTAGTGCCATTTTCACAATGTAGAATTTTTTTTTTAATCGTTTGTACGATTTAATAAATCGTTTGTACGATTTAATAAATCGTTTGTACGATTTAGTAAATCGTTTGTACGATTTAGTAAATCGTTTGTACGATTTAGTAAATCGTTTGTACGATTTAGTAAATCGTTTGTACGATTTAATCGTTTGTACAATTTAGTAAATCGTTTGTACGATTTAATAAATCGTTTGTACAATTTAGTAAATCGTTTGTACAATTTGTTTGTTAAATCGTTTGTACAATTTATTAAATCGTTTGTACAATTTATTAAATCGTTTGTACGATTTAATAAATCGTTCGTACGATTTAATAAATCGTTTGTACAATTTAGTAGATCGTTTGTACGATTTAATAAATCGTTTGTACAATTTAGTAAGTCGTTTGTACAATTTAATAAATCGTTTGTACAATTTGTTTGTTAAATCGTTTGTACAATTTATTAAATCGTTTGTACGATTTAGTAAATCGTTTGTACAATTTAGTAAATCGTTTGTACAATTTAGTAAATCGTACAAACGATTTATTAAATTGTACAAACGATTTATTAAATCGTACAAACGATTTTTAAAAAAATCTACATTGTTAAAATGGCACTAATACGCCGTCGTACGTTTATCATACATGAGTTTGATTTTATTTCTATAAATATTACACCAGTATTCTTTACTCACACAAAAGTTTCGACCTAATATTGATTGATAACATGGATATTTAAACTTTTTAGACAACATATTCTCATAGAAAAACTTACATTTTTTATCTGTAATACAATTAAAACCACTGTTAAAATTGAAAGAATTTACAGAAGTTGTCTTGGTAAAAATACAACACTTCATATCAAACATGTTACTCTGTTTCGTTACAACTTTTTTTAGAATCTTGTACTCACACAACCAGTTAGATTTATTTATCAAAGTATTTGAAATTTCTTGTAATGTTTTAAAGTTACCATTTTCATCAAAGAGATCTTTCGTATACAAAATATTACTGGCAATCCAATTTTTAAAACATATTGTTTTACCTTTAAATTGATATAAAATGTTATACCAAAGTGGTTGTCGTGCAAATTTGACATTTGATAAATTTGATATTTCTATTTCCTTTTTGCATTCATTGAAATAACAGAATATTTCTTTATAAAAAGTAGGAAGGTGAGAAATAAGTAAAAAGTTTTCGAGTTTTCTTTCAGACAATGTAAGTAAATAATTAATGTCTATATTCATTTCATTTAGGTATCCATTTATGACTTTATTCAGTATACAAGATTTATCACTAAGTCTTGTTACCCAAGATGCCTTTTGTAAGAAGATTACAAAAAGTTATAGATCAATTAATAAGTAAAGAACAATCGGCCTATATTAAAGGACGTTATATTGGAATTAATGCTAGAACTGTTTTAGATATTTATGAATATTGTATGCATGGAAAATAATAGGGAAGGACTTTTGTTATTTATAGATTTTGAAAAAGCTTTTGATTCTATAGAATGGAATTTTTATTTAAAGTACTAGAAAAATTTAACTTTGGTGAAAACTTTATCAGATGGATAAAAATTTTATACACCAGCCCAATTTTTAAAGTAAAAAATAATGGTTGGATTTCCAAAACTTGTTCTATGTCTAGAGGCATAAGACAAGGGTGTCCTATTTCAGCCTTGCTATTTTTATTTGTCGCAGAAATATTAGCTATAAAAAAAAGTAATGAACATATTAAAGGTATTAAACTAAATGCAACTTCGCCAGAAATAAAAAATCTTCAACATGCGGATGATATAACTTTAGCTTTAAAAGATAGATCCTCATTAGAAACAGCAATTGAAATTGTTCAAACTTTTTGCAACCATGCTGGATCAAAAATTAATCTGAATAAAACACAATGTATACTTTAAGGTAGTCTCAAGGATAGGCACTCAAATGTGTGTGGTATAAATGTAACTAATGATGCTGCTCGCTGCTTAGGTATTTTTACTGGACATAACAAAGACCAATGCTACAACTTGAATTGGATTAACATTTATGAAGATATGGAAAAACTGTTTGAATCATGGAAAAAAAGAAAATTAACAATTTTTGGAAAGTCTTGTATAGTTAATTCTTTAGCTTTATCAAAATTAATATATGTTGGTTCAATATTACCCATTCCAGACCACGAGTTGATAAAAAAAATTAAAAAGTAGTGTATTCAATTTTACATGGAACAAACGAGATAGAATTCAGCGAGACACAGCTATAGGCAAACAAGAAGAAGGGGGGATAGGATTAGTTGATATTGATCTCAAAATATTACCATAATTGTATGTCATCTCAAAATATCAATATAACTGTATGTTCCTAACTCATTCCTTTACATTTCCACAACAAAACATGCCTTATATAACCGTTATAAATAGCTCTCATGACACCATCGAAATTTTTGTCTATATAGGGGTCATTGATACTCTGATAACAGAGATAACTCTTAATGACATAAATGTCTATTATTCCTTTATAGATTTGCCTAGTTGAAGTGTCTTTTCTGTCCAATTTTGCCCCGCAAGCTATGCTATAATTGTTTGTATTTTACTTACAAAATACATCTCTATTGAAAAATCATTAAGATTTAAGCAACATTTTATATGAGTGAGCAGAGGATTTATGAACCTTAAACTGAAGTTTTGGGCAGTGTGATCGTTTCGTGCAGATATCAAATATGAGATACCTCGACCTTGCGGAATTAAAATTTGCACAACTGGTTATCTAGAGAGTAGAGTAAAGGAAAACAGCATATAGTATTGGTATTTATCAGTCAGCAGTTAGGCAATAGCAATAAGCAGTCAACAGTTGGCAATAAGCAGTTGGCTGTCGTAATTATGTTCCCCAAACGAAGTTGGGGAACATATTGTTTTACTCTGTTTCTTATTATGTCGTCCCGAACGAAGTCGGGGACGACATATTGCGATTGTACGCATGTTTTTGTTGTTCGGGCGGTTTCTCGGAGATTGCTGGGACAATCTTCCTGAAACTTTCCTTAAAGGAGGATCACTGGTTGTTGTTGTGCCATGTGGTCATTCAGGTTCAAAATGGCTACTGTTGCCATGGAAACCTGCAAAAAGCGACGAATTTTGTCCGCGAGTGTTCTCTTTGGTCCCTTGAACATTCTTCAGGAAATTTTACTGATTTATTGATAAGTATCTGT